CCAACAGGGGTCATTGGATTTCCCAAATCAATAAGTTGATCCATTGGCTTGTGGTTTCCCATAAAACTGCAAACTGTTGGAATGGAGGAAACCCTGTTACAACAACACCATTCTCCATAAGAAGCGTCGACAGCATCCCACATCGACTGGCACATACCTGGAATTACCTGGATGTGAATTAATTTCAAGTGGGGGGGCGTGTTGGTGAACATGGAATGTCAACCATACTGGCCTGTCCTCAGATCCCCTGCTAGAAGTGACTAACTTTTGCTCGGTTAAATGGACACCCAACCACTAAACCAACCAAAAACCACCAAAAACACAAACAAGGAGCCGGGCCGGTTGAAACGCCAAAGCATCGTAGGGGGGGCGTCGCTCTTCAGATCCACCGCGCGGATCGAGAAAAAAAAACGCTCCCCAAGCTCCGTGCCAGGCTCCAAGGGGACGTTCCATGCCCAACCCCGCCAACGGCTTTTTTGGACCGTGATGTTGACCCCGGATGAATAAACCCCTGTTTATTAATCGGGGGGGTGCTTTTCCCTGAGTGAAATGTGTGGAATCAGACCACTGTTGGAGGGGAACACAACCATATTAATAAACTGATTCATCTGGGGTCAACATTACTTGGATTGACATGGGAAACCGGGCCTAAATATTTCGTCCCGTGTACCCAATCTCAAGCCTCAGCAAAGGGCAGGCTTGCACCAGAGACCGCTGCTTCAGCACCTAACCCGCTGCGAACCCCGCCTTGAGGTACGTCCTCCGCGCATAGAAGTAACTCTGCAGCAGCGCCAGGAGCAGTCGCAGCACCTGGATGCCCACGTTGACCTGTGGATAGGTCACCTCGGACGCCAAGAAATTTGCGACGTGGTCCGGCAAGAACCATCTACAACCGAGCCCCAAACCGTAGGGGTGCCAGAACCAAAATCAGGATCGCAAGCGTCTTCCCCACAAGCGCGTATGCGGGGCATGAAAAGACACAGAAGGAAAGCCATGGACAAGCAAAAGAGAACCCACCACGGGTTTCTCTCTGCTTCAGGCCCGAAGTTGAGCGGTAGCAATCGAGGCTTGTCTAACGAGGCCCCCGAACACGGAAGATACCACAAAACACAACGGTGAAGGCCGCCCCATACGGGTTTGTCTTCTTGGGGATTAAACAAATGAGTGGTTCTTTTGGCTTCCCCGCAAAACCAACCAAAAAGGGGTACTCTCAGAAAAAGGACCAGCATGACGTGTTGGTTCTCCGACGAGAAACCTAAATTTGCAACCCGGCCCTCCTGAAAAAAGACGGCTTCGCCCAGGGTTCCAATCTTGGACCAGGTAAAGTCAAACTCAGTGGTGGTTCAACTCCCCCCAAAGGAGAACCCCTGGGATTACGTCTTCCTTGTAGCCCAACACGTGGAACCCTGGCTTCCGGGGTCCAAGCTCGTGTCCGGGTCCCGCACCGTGGACCTGTCCGGCATCCCCACGTAGCGCCGCAGGAAGATCCGGAAGTTCACGCTCCGCTCGCGGCTCAGGGAGTATACCTCACGGAGCTTTTTCCTCCAGCCTGCCCCTTGATAGTTTGGAGCCCGGCGGTTTGGCGGTGTTCCCGGGGTGGATGGAAAGAAGCAATGGTTCAAATCCGGAAACCACCGATTCAAACCATCAACTAAGGGGTACCTGACTTCTCACGAGATCTTCCGAGCGGCAAAAGTTGGCAACGGAGCAACTGCACAAGTTGGCCAGCAGCCGATACGATCCAACATGCTGTCCAGCTTTGGTTTGCTTTGATCTCAACCGCATAATCTGGGGCAAGTGGGTTAATTACACATAACGCAAGTTGAAAAATCCAGGGATGCTGGGGGGGATGCAGAGGGTTGCATCAAAAAGCACTGGCTTTTCGCAACAGCAAGCGCCAAGTGAGTTTCTTGAAGTTGGGCAGATCCAAGGCTTTTGCGACATGAGCTCAAAATGCAGGCCTCCAAATGCAGGCCTCCAGCCCTACCGCTTTGCTTGACCTTTGGCGTCGGTAGGGGGGCAAGCCGAGGCACGAACCGCATGACGAGATGATACGAGATGCCAATCAAGCTCAAACGCAACACAAAGTGACAAGGCAGTAATACTGGCTTTCAGCCCATTCCGCGAGAACGGAAGGAGCGGGCTTCTCACGTCTCGCAAGAAAGCTCGATGAAGAAGCTGGCTTTGTTCCCTCAATGTCCGTTTACTGTGTTTTGGCTTTCATTTGAAACCCGTTGGGGTTCACCGCTGACCGCTTGTGAGCGCACAACAAAGCGGGAGGGTGGGAGTCACTGATCTGGTCTAAGACAGGGCAAGGGCTTGTCCAAATCTGGATGCCCTGGTCGAACCAAACCCTTCTAACATGTTGACACAAGTCTTGTTCAAACCAGCTCCTGTTGGTTTCCGAAACGCCGTGCAAATCGGGTCTGGTCACTTACAAATCTTTAACCCGAGCACCTCCCGTCTGTGCTCCTGAGTCCTGGGAGGAGCCGCCTCCATTTTAGACCCTTGAAATTCAAACATCGCCACTTGGTTGAACCAGCGACCCTCGTAGAAGCCCCCCGACACTAGGGGGTTGATGTCAATTTTTCGTGGGGGGGCTGCCCAAAATCAAAGAGATAGAGTTTTCGGGTGCCACGTGGCGCTGAAGAAAGTTGGCTCGGTGCTCACCAAATGAGAGTCTCCCTTTGGGTGGTTGTTTTTGGGTGGATATAGCCCCCGTTGCAACGTTAAAAGTGGTGCGAAGAGCCCCTTTGACAGAGTGGTGTGGTTTGGAGGTTTAGCAGTGGTTTCCCATCAGCCTTCTACAAAGGCCCGGGTTGCCCGGAGGATGGGAAGAAGGCTACCCTCCCCCCCCCCAAAAAAAAACTCCAGGATGCCCTGGTTTTCAGGGTGAGCCAACCACTCTGTGGAACAGAATGAAACAGGTTTCAGTGGCAATTTGGGTACATGTGTTGACTCTTTGAACATCCTCATTCACATGTCTGACCAAAGAACATGAGTGCATGGCCTGCTTGCTTAACCAATTGTATGCCAATCGCAAGACATCATCGCGCCGGCCGCGATCCGATCCTCACGTCAGGCTCAGCTAAGTGACAGGCATCAAAAGTCGGATGAAGACCGACAGCGCCACTTGCCTCAGGTGAGCTGTGGGCGTCACGGTGCCTGGAAGACTTGAGCTCTGCTTCCATCTGTTGTTTCGTCCACATTGTGTCCATTCTCCTTAAAGCCAACAGGGGAAAGTAAATATACAATATATATATATATATATTTATTTGTTTTCTTAAACAAGGGTTTGACAAAACATCTGCACACAGGTATCGAACTCAGACTAGAGGAAAGAGCGTATTTTCTCGGAGGGGGTTCGAGATCTCTGTCACATTCCGACAAGAGCTACAGGCGCAGCGTTGGGAAAACCAATTTGCCCCCCGTTGGCCTTGTAAATTGAGCGAGTCCGCGTATGGAAAAAGCTGGTGGATACTTCAACCCAACAACATGAGCCACGGACAATTATGCATCGTGTCTCATGGCGGCTCAATGAATGTGCCCCAAGTCATCCCTGCTGCTACCGTAAATGAAAGCAACTATTGACCGTTGCGTCAATCGTTGCTCACATAACTATGACTGTTCAACACGGACAACCCTTGCTTGCAGGGCGCGTGAGCAGCGGCCACACGATGTACATGGCCACGAACTCGCCCCAGACCGGCGTCTCCCCCGCTGACAGGTCATAGACGCACTGCCCAGTCTGCTGACACTCTGCGACTCCGTCCATGGCGTCGCAGCAATGGAAGCAAAACGGGAAAACGAAAAACGGGCGCCTGGAGTGGCTCGCTCTGCTTTGCTGCGGCAGCGTGCGACAACTTCTGAGGGAATATGAAGGGTCCAAACCCCACCACACCCCCCCACCCGCCCCTAGATTCCCTTTTGAATTGGACCAAACAAAAGGGGGCTACCCCTTGTTGCAGGTATCCTACGATCCACAAAGAAAGCTCATTCATGTCTTGCAAAATACACCTTGCGTCCGGTACGGTACCCTCTTGATCGGCAATTTGGGGGATTTGAACCCCTGCTTCTGGTAGAGGGTAACCGAGAATCCGTGCTAACTACCCGTTTGGAGGCAAGCCGAAAACACCGCCTTTGTTGGGTCAACCAAACAAACAAAAGCCTCTTGGAGCTCCAGGCGTGTCAAAATGGACGAGAGATCCAAACCTCGCTGCGGACGTTTTTCCTGGGATCGCCGTTGAGTTGGTACCCCTTTTGTGTTCACAAAGATATCCTATCACATCGCCCAAGGAACATCCCTGTCAATTTCCGCAAAAAGTCCAACATGGAACCTGACTGAGGGGTCCTGGAACCTTTAAAAGAGACCCTCTGGTGGGGTCCATGATAGTGCACGGTAAACGACTGAAAAACGGAAATATGAGGACCCTTGCCAAATGCCCCGCTCAACTCACGGATGTGTCTTAAAGTTGGGCACCGCATTGCTGCACCGGAGTTAACATGCCCCAGCAAAAAGATGCAAATCGCACTTGAGTCACCCAAAACCATGCTTCACGAAAGGCGGGAGTCTGCGCCCAATGGCAAGGGGTGCAATCCTTGAGCCTTCATCTACCCAGGTTTTGATTGGGACTCACTTTGCTGTTCCCCGGGAGAAATCTTGAAACCCAGCACAGGTCCAACATGGTCTGCTTCCAAGGCTCCACCCTCAAAAGAGCCAACCGCACCTCTTCGTCGCCAATATGAAAAGGCCGTGATTCACACGGAGAATTATGTCCGAAACTTGTTGTTGCTATGTTCCTTACTTATGTAGGTATGTATCTACGTATTTCTTTATTTGTTGTTGTTGCTGCTGCTGTTTGTTTTGTGTTGTTTTTCTTACCTGGGAGGGGCAAGTTGATTCTTCCAGCGCATTCAGTTTGCCCCTTGCGTTCATGGGCTTCACAAGACGGATCGCTCGGATTTCCACGGCTCCCGAGAAAAATCCCCAGCAATCTCGCCTCAAGGTTGGCAACTGTCGCCCCATCCTTCATGATGTCCACGTTGCCCTACGGAAAACGCGATGATCAGGCCATGAAATCCCAAATCCGGATGTGGGCATCTAAATACAGTGTAGATATATACAATATATATATATATATACACACACACACGTATGTGTGCATATATATACACACACACGTATGTGTGCAGTGTATTCTACATACATACATATCTATATATCTATATATATATATATATATATATATACATATGTTTGACCCATTTGGGAATGAATGTGGGTTTTCCAACCAAGCCGAGCCATGGTGCCAAGTCACTTACGGCAGGCGGCGTTGGAGGGACTGCGAAGAGGCTACTAATGGACTCCCTTGACCATAGCAACAACCATCCATCGCATCGAAACGCCAAAAAATGAAAAATGAAGCTCGACTATCATCCATAGGCCCTACTAACTACTAACAGTTGATGACGGCGGAACACTGATCAGCACTGGTCAGCAGATTGGCGGTCCCCGCCCCAAGTCTTAAACTACAGATACAGCACCCTCTGCTGCAATCTCTGTGCCTCTGGCGCCAACGAGAGGCCTGAGAAGATCAAAACCCATTCGATCCTGTTCAGGGATCCTTACATTATACACCTGAACATTGCCTTGTAAATGGTGGTTTCCCTGTATTTGGGTGGAAAAAGCCATGTTTCAAATGGGCAAAATGTATCTTTTAAGGAGCCCTGCTGTTGTTGAGTTGATTGTTCGAATAGTTTGCAGCAGGTATTTGACCGAGGCGGTGGTCAAGTAGTGCTCGCTACTCTCTACCAAGAACTACAAAGTGAGCAACTGCCAGAACTCCTGGAAGGACAATGGGCATTGTTCCCATGCTGGCACTCCCTCATGTTCATTGTTTTCCAAAACTGACCGCACCGCTAGAACGTCATCTGAAGCGCTCCCCTGATCGGTTGACCATTTTGGGAATACACGTTAGTGCTCAGGGAAGCATCCATACAAGTCCAAGACAAAAATACCTGGTTCCCCAAAATGACGCGGAAACGTTGGTAGGAATTGTGGGCTGTCCCCACATGATTTCCCCAACCAACGGTAGACTACTAATCAATTGTGTCACCGGCTCATCCGCCTGCCTCGTACATGATGTAGAACGTGTTTCCGGGCTCATCCTGTTGCACGACCATCTCCCCTGGCAGGGTCCATAGAGCCGACAGGATGATGAGCCCAAGCAAAATTCCTGACCGACAATCCCAACTGTTGCATTCCAGGGTCGTTTTGGGACGCCTTGCTGGCCAAATATATGCCCCTCACAGTATAGAGGTGTAGCGTTCGTCTTGGAGGTATGCCAATCTATTCCATGCCCGCCGAAAAAGGCGTTCTGGTTTTTGTTCCTGTGCGGCAACACTGTCCCGTGCAAACGAATTGCCCCGGACGACACCCCGCGCCTTGGGTGAAATGCATCTCCACCAAGGCCTGGCAGTCTGAAAAAGCGAGCCAGGAACCTCTAAGATCTGGGTATTTTGTCTTTGCAGCTTGCCAAGTGCACTGTGGGCGCGGCGCTTTGAGGGGGGGGGGGGGGGGCGGGGGTAAATCTGGGTCTTGAAACAGGAATCGTCCTTTGACAATAGTCGGTGATGCTCGGGTTCGGTTCCGCATGCCGTTGATGCGGCACTTTGCGGCACATGAATGCTTCTGGATTTCCGCGGTGCTGTCTGCCATCCACTTGAGTTACTCAAAGTACTTGCAAGATCCAGGCCACAGAGCCCCCTGCTTTCTAGACAACGGTTTGGATGTGGCGAATCTGTGGATCCACCCTTTGTGAAATATTAAAGGAGTACTAAAAGATTACTGCAAAAGGACCAAGAGGGGGAAGAACTTGTGAAATCCACAAAAAGCGCATCGCGCTTGTTTATGATTGCACCGTGCCCAAGCACATGTTCATCGCCAACAAGCAATCCGAGCGCGAACCTAGCGCCAACCAAGTGCCACACGGGTTCCTTGACTTTTGGCCCTCCATGGCCCTCCAAGCGAAATGGGACAGCAAAGCCAAAACCTCCCCGCTCCATTTTGAGACAAACCCATCTCCTTGTCTCTTTGCCTCACAGCATTCTCGCCTTGGCCAAGGCTTTCTTCTCGGTCTCCAGCAGCGTGTCAAGGATGCTAACTTCGTTGAGGTATTTGATCTCGCGCGCGCGATCGAATGAACTTGACTGAAGCTGGATTGACGTATGAGCAACGAGCAACATGATTTGCTAGTGGCTCATTTGGATCGTGATTGTTCCCTTTTCTTGAACAATAGGCGAGATTGAATGGTACCCCAAACTTGCCATAGACGATCAGTACAATTCTCCGTCCCTCAAACGGACTGGTCGGGACCCACAAGCCCACTTTTAGGCGTCCGCGAATAGACTAATCAACGAGTTGGCTGGCAATTGTTCCTAAAAATTGGGCCACATGAAACTCCAATTGCAGGAAAGGCGCTGGCAGGCATGTTTGGTTCAGCTCTCCCGGCCATGTTTGGCTTTGGGGGAAGGAGGGTGTATCCTGCTGGATTTGTGCGTGCAAAGATCCGTGGTCCAGGCATTCGATAGGGCCAGCCTAGAAGTTCCTACCATTGCCCAACGCCCAGCGCCGGCCGGGTGACTCGATAGGGTCTTTTTAAACGGGGGAGGCTCCTTTCCTACATGGCCACGGGTCAAAATCCCGTACCCCCAGTGATCTTCCCAATCCCCACAAAAATAGGTTCTAAAATGGGTGGAGCACTTACCCCAAAATGAGATTCCATTAGTTTTGACCCACAGCCACATCTCAACTCTGCCTGGCTTGAAGCCAAACTGCATGTTGACAATGTTGCAGGGATCTTGGTTGGGAGTCAGCCACATGATGCGCGCTCGTTCTGATCTGTCGCTCATGATTCTGGCAGCCAGCCAGTGAAGCCAGGATTTCAACTCCCAAGAGGCTTGTATGTATGTAGATGTGCATATATATATATATATGTATATATTTACACACATACGTGGGCCTATGCCTATTGAGGGGACCTGGGTTTGCCTATTGTGAAACGCGTGTCAACCCTCTTCAAAACTCGTTTTTGTTGATCCCTTTGGTCTCCGGGCCACGCCACCCGCATTCAAAAGACACCTCTGAGCTCCCGCACATACTCTTTCAGCTTGTTGTCTGAGACCTTCATGAGGATGTCCTATAAGAAAGTCTGGTCGCACTCTAGCTGTATCTCCCAACCATGTTGAATCTGGTGCTTTGCCGCAAATAGCGGCAGCCCACGGCCAGGAAATGTTTGGCGGCTTCTCAAAAGAGCAGTTGGCAAAAAGAACATGAATCAACCTTTGGAATGATTGCATTTTGCTGAGCTGAGTAGCAAAGCTCATACCTACTTGAGTGCGCTGTCGTCTATGCCAAGCGAGCAAGGGGAGCCTCCTACTGCAAAACAGCAGCACAGCGGTGAGGCACTGGTCTCAAGCCCCACCAACCGCACGAAGCTTTGGGGGGTTTAAAATCAAGCGCAGGGCTCGGGCAATACGTGCAGTTCCCCTATCCTTGGGCCTGAATACATGAGCAAGTCTCCACTACGGGACAACACACATGTACTGGCTTTGCTTAAACACATAGAAAGCCTATCAAGCAAGCAAGAAGCATCTGCGGCATATTCAATCTACTATGGTTCACTAATGAAGGGCTCCAAAAGGCTCCAAAACATCATGGTCCAGGTGTCCTTGGACATGTTTATGGCACTGCATGATCAGAACTAGATTGACATCAGTGGAAGGACCTCTACATATGTTTCAACCAAAACTCACCTAGACGGGCACCTTGAAGTTTAAATCTGTCTTGCTTGTCGCAGGTAGTGGAAGCGATGCACAAGCCCATTTGCAACTCTCAAGGTCGCTCCAGAAAGAGCTGAGGCCAAATCATGTCCCTTGTCCGTCTCTCTCTTGGAGGCGGACGTATTTCCGCCTTACTTGGGTGTGTCTTTGTTGGACCCCATCCGAAATTGCTGTCCCTTTCGGGTTTCCTTCAAAACACGCCCCCCCAAAAAAAAGGGCATCAAACAACCACAGACCCAAACCATGTTTGCAAACCTGTGTGTTTTCTGGTCCATCTGAAGGGCTCGCAGCAGCTCCCGGCGGTGCTAAGGTCCTTGAAGTTGCTGCGGTCAATGACCCACAGCACTCCGTCGGTGATGGCCTGGAGCTTGACATGAGTCTTAGGGCGCCCGTTTTTGGGGCGGTTTAATGTTATCCCCGGATTAATAAACCCCTGGTTGATTAATAGGGGGGTCTCCCCTTTTAGTGGGGATTCATCACTTTTGGAGGGAACACCCCCCTACTAGTGGGGTTTATTAATCCTGGGTCAACAGTATGGGACGACCAAAAGGAAAACCACCGAAAGCTTGGGGGGTTGTCCCGGGGATGAGTTAAGATGTGCTGGAAACCCAAAGGACAAGTCGGCTTGTGTTGTTAGGGAAGCCCACGTTTAAAGAGAAATTTCCTGGGCTCCTCCAAAAGACCAGGGGCCACTCCTGAGAAAAGTTATCCTGGAGCTGGTGATGGCTATGAGGTTCCCTAGGCCCGACAAGGAGATTTTGCGTCACAAGATCAAATCATCTCCGGCTGTCTATTGATGCTGTGGATGGTTGCGACATCCGTTTCTCGCAGCACCGTTCAGAAACCCTGGTTTCCGATGAGTCTCCTGCCAACAAACGTATTGGTTTCAAACATGGCTTCATTTCGCGGTGCGAAACGGACTGTGTCCATCCACAACCATTGTGATTTCGGACCCTTACCACCAGGATGACCATCCCAACAAAAACCCCAAGTAAAGGAACCAGTCAAAACTGTGACCTTGCGCATTCAAAAAGGACCTCAACCTCACCATCCCAACGTTACGTTGACCCCAAGTAACCCCAACCAACCCCTTCGGTTGGCCCGCCCAAACCCGCCGGCTTTCGGCTTTTGGCTCCCGCCCAAAGCCGTGGCCTGCACCGTGGCGGCCCGCGGCACGAAGTAGAGCAGCGCCAGCTCCCCGAAGGAGCCGCCCTGGCTCACCACGTTCAGCACCTCAATTGAAACTCGGCGAAGGCATCGGAGTTGAATCGCGTTCCGTCTTTCAGCCGCCATTGGCAGTGGTGTCCCCAGGATAAAACAGACATATGTCGGACTCGGAGCCCAGGAGTTGAATGGACGACTTCTTTGGGTACTTCCGTCAACCAAGCAGGATGAAATAAGAAAATATGTCCATTAGTGATAAATTCCTTTTAAAACCAGAAATTGCTTCTGACTTCCAATCCAAACGAGTGGGTTGGCCAAAAAAAGTAACTAACTTTTTGAGAAGCCACTAAAATGGTCTTCAAAGAAGTGACTCAAGTCCAGCAACTCAGCAAGTGAGACTTCCGTCTTTTTCAGCTGAATTCGAATGGAGCCTGTCCCTTTTTAGATGCTTTTTACAGGGAAATCTAATGGAGGCCCTCCTTTGTCTGCTTTTAAAAGGAAATGTATGTTTTACTTCATAAACTTCTGATGTGTATGTTCGTCTTTCAGCTGAAGTCTAATTGGGCCGTCTCCAAATAGGGGGGTCCTTTTTGGATGCTTTTACAAGGGAAACTAAACAGAAACTAACCAGTCGGAGGGGTCACTAATTTTGAAAATCACCCAATTGGTGGCTTGGATTGGTGGGTTTTGGAATTAGGGGGAGTGGGAAACAAAACGTATCCTGTACAAGGACCAGGGTTCAAGTAGCCCAAATCAGCTTGGTGCTGCGCATTTTACGTACTCCAGCCAAAAGAAAACAACCTGGTTAGGACAAGGAGATCATTTTGAGGGTTTGCATTTTCTGGTGGGGAAACTACTCAAAAAACGGGACCCCGCAAAAAGACAGGAGAAAAAGGGTGCCTCACGGAGCACCAGGCTGGTTGGTTTTCTGTCCCATTTTCGGGACAAGTTGCCTCCTCACAGAAGACCTACACGCTTGGAGGGAAACCCATACATTTCACAACCTTGAAAATGGACAACATTGCATACCCAAGAGCTTCTTTTGCCAGCATGTACTTGGGTGTGTCCTTTCTTAAGGCACCCCCCCCAAATGGCGGGTTTCCTATTGGTTTCCTGGTAAACCACAAAAAGGGGGTATCCTCAAAAAGACACCCCCCATAGTGCACAGGCCAGATTTTTGTGGGCATCTATTTGGGCAACGCTGCGGAGCGTTTTGCTCTGACCGCGCCTTGTTGTCCGAGCGCGTAAGCGCGTGCTCGGCACTGGTGCCGCCCTCTTCTGTCTCCTGCTGAGGCTGGGTACCCCTGTTTCAGGCTTCCAAACGAAACCAGAAGGGAACCACCATTTTGGGGGTCCTCGCTTGTTCATTTTCGGGGGCCTCGCTGTTTTTTTCCCATGATAAAAAAAATATGATGTTAAGCAGCCCTGAAGAATCAAATGTCGGCACCTCAAAAGGGGCCTGACAAGGGGCTTGGTGCTTTTTTGGTTGGGTTGCAACCCTTTTTGTAGAAAAGGCAGACCGCCTTGTGGCACATGTGCATGTGTCAGATCTACAGGGAGCCTTTGCCTTAGATGTTCAAAGGATGCCGCAACATGAGTGCACCTTTTGGCGTGCTTTGTTTCATGACACCCGGAGTTCCTTGTATGTCCAACCTGACAATAGCACCAACAAGAACCCTTCCGAAAGGTGATGCTTGACTCCAGGCTCAAGGCAAAATAGAGGGAACCCTATGTCTTACCTTTGTGTAGTTGTTTTGTATTTGTCTGCTGATAACATCAGCAGACAGATACAAAACAACTACACAAAGGTACGACAAACTTGGCCAAAAATAGACTGTTGCCGGGTAACGTAAACGCGGGATTAATAGCCCTGGTTGATTAGCAGGGGGTTCATTTAGTGGGGTCATCACTCTTGGAGAGAACATCCTATTCATGGGGCTGGTTCATCAATCTGGGGTCGACATTAAGAGGGGACATCAAACAAACGAAGCCCAACAGGGCCCTGTTGAGAAAATGAGTTCAGTCAAGACGGCAAATGTCCAGGTCCTCCAGGAGAGGTTAGAATAAGAGTACCCTTTTTCTGTAGTCTATTTTAGTAGGGGAACCCACCCAAAAAAAAAAGGTAAAAGGGCACTACTGGGGGACCTAGTACATGGTATGACCCCGCGAAGCCCAACCCTCACACAGCTCCGGCCTGCACGAAGATCTCGAAGCGGCCAGACTCCACCACCTCCGCTGGAGTCGGCTCGCGCTCACTATCGAGGGCTTTGGGGGTTGGTACCCTGCAGTGCTTGGGCCATACTTTTGGGATGGTAAGGGAAACCAAACGGGTTCGTCTCCAAAGGAATTGGCCCAAAGGAGATTTTGTGGGGTTCGCTTTAAAACTAACAAAAAAAGGGGGGTTCTCCTCAAATCAGACACCCACATCTGTGCAACCAATAACCACTTTTGAAGGGTTCCAACTAGATCCACAGCCACAGCCACGCCCGCAACACACAAACCCTGATTCAGGCTGCCACCTTTGTGGGCCGACAAAAACGAAATGGAGTGTTTCAATCTGGACACGTCTGAAAGGGGGGGAGGAGGGTGAGGGTTGGTAACTGTTTCGGATAGCCACAAGGAAACCAACAACCAACCATCCGGAAGGTTCCAAATCCTTAAGGTTCGCCGGCTCCGTGGTGAATTTCAGAAAAGCCAACCAAAGAAACCGCGGTTGATTTTCACCCGGCGCCCAGCGGGTTTAACCCGAGGCGCGTAGAAGTAGTCCGCGTTGAGGTCGCCCTCCTGGATAATGCGCTGGCCCTCCTGATGGCGGAAGGCGTTTCCGGGTTGGTTGCCCCCCGAAACGGAAATGCTTTGGTTTTCAGGTGGCTTCTCTCTGAAGCAATCTCAGAAGGGTGCGTCAAAAACAAAACGCCGGCGAATGCGCTGGCATTGGGAGGCAATGAAAACTCCATCAGTGCACAAGAACCCCCCAAGGCCACGGTCCGCCCATCCATCAATCATCAGTCTCAGCCTTGCAAATCGGCGCGTGATGTCTGTATCCGGTGCAGCCCACCTTGTTCATTCCACTTCGAGTAGCAAAAGCTCCAAAAGTGCTCTGGTGTAGCAAGCACCACCGCGTGGCAAACGCTTGGCTCTTTCGCAAACCCACCGGGCCCGAAGAGGATCTCCCAGAATGGTTTCTGGAAGTTGTAGAACTCCATCGGACTCCAAAAAACAAACACACTCAGAAACTTGGGTGGGTCTTGAGATGGTGGACCCTAAAAAAGGGGGCCCCCGCCTTTTGTCTCACCGCGCCAATGTTAAAAAAAGGAGCTGGTTGAAACAATCCCGTGAAAGCCCAGCCGTCCCGTGGAGCGGTTCGCCAGAACATCGTCCCGACATCAAGAGATGGCCTTCTCAGGGGTCCAAAGATACATCCCAAATAGAAACATCGCCAACCACCAAAGGCGGTGCCTGGTCCCTCTTAACACCCCCCCTGGAGGAAATTATCCGTGGGACAACCTGCCCAAAGTGCTTTACACAAGCAGTTCCAAAAGCGGAGCTGAACCCTTTCAAGACAAGCAAACAGCGCACACCATGTAGCTGGGTTGACTTTCAAGTTGATTCCCTCACAAGAACTCATGAGTGAGTGGATTGACCAAAACGTTCCAACCTCGACGTCAGGCGACCAAAGCCTCTCGACCCAACCACAGGTCTCGCTCTGGTCTCGCTCTGGTCTCGCTCGGGTCTCGCTCGCTCGCTCGCAACGCTTCCGACGCCACGGGTTCCTTGACCTCCTCCTTCCACATGACATCAACGAAGGCCTTCACCCGGCCCTCAGCACGAAGTGTCGTTGCTTGGAACCTTAAAAGGCGAACCAAAACCAAGCGAATTGACCGCGAGGCGAGTGAGGCGAGCCCCCCCAATTTTTGAGAGAGACAAGCCTGCTCTTCTGCGCAATAGAACGTGTGCGGGCCAGCTTGAAAAGCAGAGGGATTGCTTGAGTTGCTTTCGCCTGGTTTCCAGCTTCACCATCTCTGGTTGAATCACACCAATTGGGTGTCTCCCAACATGGGAAATAAAAACAGTGGACTTGCAGATTTTTCTAGTGAGAGGGTAAAATACCTCAAGTTGGGCAAGTATTCCCCTCGGATGCTTGGTGAAACTGAGTTTTGCTCTGGGACGCTTTGGTCAAGTTACGCAACAAAGCCGGAGCCAAACCGAGCAACCAGACTTCCTCTTGGAGCGCACGCCCGTGTCAAGAGAAGCCCGAAACCGGGTGTCAGTGCGTGGAACTCCGGATCGAATCTCAGCTCTCTGTGAACACAGCTGAACAAACTGGGGATCTCAATTGGGAACTATATCTTGATTTATGTTGACCGACCATTTCCGAGGTTGTTCCTCATTCAAGGTCAACATGTAGTTCTCGTTCTTCTCAGGTCGATCGACACGAGGTGGTGTTTGAGGGTACTCTTAAGAGGGACTAAAGGAAACCGGGAAAACCCAATCGGTCGTTATCTCAGTGGAAATCCCAAACCAACAAACCAGGCTCCAAACCACCAACTAAGGGACACCCCCCTCTTCCAAGTTTCGCGCCTCATCGAGCGTGGTCATGGTCGCCAGGTTTTCGTTGCCCCTGGCGACGGACAGCGATAGGCCCGACGGAGGCGTCGACAAAGGCTTGGTCACCACAGAACAAGGGTGAGAGATACTTCAAATTTTGGGTCCTACGAACACAGTCAGCAGCATGCAAAGCGTTGAGCTGTTTGCGAGCTGTCAGAATGCGCAACATTTTGTAAACGCAAGCGAGGATCCGAGTCCAGCAATTGTGGATTTGCCTCTTCAAGGCACCTCCGAGTTGAATGGGTTCCCGTTGTTTCCTGTAAACACGCCAAGAAGGCAAACCAAGCATAGGCGCTCGCACAAATGGGTCGTGTCTAGCAAAGTGTTCCGCCAGAGTACCAACAAGTGAGCTGCATAGGTCACGAATGAAATGAGCCCCAAAAAGGGGAGACGGTCATTAGCCAGCGTCCCGCGTTCATCTTGCTGGTGCTCAGGGATTCCCTTAAACGAAACCAAGCCGGGGATGGAATAGCTCGGTCGCATTCCATTTCTCATTACCCTATCGAACCAGCAAGCCATTGGAACGGACCAAATTTGGTCCAAACAATCCTGAAACCCTCCTTGTGCCCCTGAAACTCTGAAACCCTGAAACCCTGAAAGGAATTTCCACGCCCTTTTTTGCCCTCCTTTTGCCGCCTCACAAGTCAGACCAAAAAACGTCTCGATCCCGGCCTCAACGCTTCGGTGATCAGGGCAATGTCCTCCTGGGACTTGGCCGTTGGCGTCTTCGCCTCGCGACGCGCACAAGGCCAACGGAACGACGTTGGAAAACCTACGCTTGCTTAAGTCCCCTGGAAAATATGTCCCGTAGTGATAGATGCAACTTAAAAATTCACAGGGGAAATAGCACAAAAATACTATCAAGGAAATGGAAGGAAAGGAAGGAGCCGAAGGAAGTCGTTCAAATTAATCCCAGCGTCCTTCAAGGAACGTTGCTCCTATGTTCCAAACAACACCGGTGGGGAAAAACAAACGCCGCATGATCTGATGTTGCGATCTGGGAAGTCATGGGTCCCCATCTAACTCAAAATCGCAAGGGTCGAAGCCTTTCACAAGGCCGCAGGAAGGGGATCGACCGCGTTAAGCGAACAGCCAACTTCATTTCGATGACGCACATCTTCCCCAATAAAACAAAACTAAAATACCAGGGTACGTATCAAACTAGGGATGTGGACCCCTATTTTGGGGCGGTTTCAACTGCTTTCCCTTGAGAGCCACCAAGGCTTCAAAATCACACAACCGGCAACTGGAAGGGGTCCTTTGTGGGCTTTGAAAGGAAACCAGCGTGAAAATATGTGTCTTTAAGACACAACCAAAACGGAAAAACGCCGAACCGCGGGCCACGGATGCCCCAAGCACCGTCCCACCGTCGACGCCCGCCTTCTGCTGCTGCCCGCCCCCGCCGCCCACGGCGCGGCGGTTGGCGAACTGCAGCTTCTCGTGCAGCCCTTGGACCGCGGAGATTTCTTGGGGAAAATGCGAAAGCGAAGAAGGTAAAGCCAGCAGCAGATAACCTACCAACAAACGAACAAAAAAGCAAGCAAACAACCAAGCAAGCAAACAACCAAGCAAGCAAAGAAGCAAACAAGAAGCAAAGAAGCAAAGAAGCAAACACAAGCGAGCCAGCTAGCCAGCCAGCTAGCCAGTCAGCTATCCAGCCAGCCACGTAGCAAGCAGGCAGGCAAAAGATAGCGTGTAAAATAATGTATATAAGCAGGCAGAATCCCGTGATGTATAGCTGATGGAAGACTCTGAAGGGATGACCGGCGGTAGAAAATACTATGATAGTTAACGTATGTAACAAACACTGAACAAACACTGTAACATGGAAGGTTTAACAAAATGTAAGACAACCACATAAATCATGGTGGCTACCAACATCAATGCAATCTGACCACAAACGTGTCGCGGCTGAGCTCGCTTGCTCATCCAGTTGTCGGAGGTTTGCAAGCGAGGAGAAATCAGCATTGAACATGTTCTGACAAATCATATGGAACCTGAAAGGGTGTTTTTTCAAAAATAATATATCTCTACATTGGCATGTGTTTTGGAGTTCCTTTCAAGATGCTAAAGATCAGTCTTGTTCCTTTTAAGGCGACCATGGCCCAACCGGGACTGTCCCCAAATCGCCTGCATGGAAATTGAAGGTGCAACTTTGGGAATTTTGAGATTGCAAAGTGAACTCCTTTGGGACTGGAGGCTGAAGCCAAACGGAACCCAATCCATTGGTCCTCTTTGCCAGTTCGCATATGCCCGCTGTCACGGCCCTTCGTCCCTTCAGGCCCGGGCCGAGGTCCTGGAAAGCCTCACGGTTTCGGTTCGCTGCGGTTGGTTCTCGGTTGGTGGTTCGGGTTCTTTCTTTCTTGCTGGTTGATTGCGCTTCTGCGCTTCTTCGTATTTGCTCGCACCTCTGTTGGTGTGGCATTTCGTGGGTTTCTGATGAGTGCTTGGGTGTTGCGCGCTATTGCTCACAAATGTGCCTGTTCTTTGTTCAGTTGTTGTGTTTGGCTTGTGCATACTGTAATGTCACTCGCTGTCAATACGACTCTCCTCTATACCTTCAAATGTGCACCAATGCCCCTTTGGTCATGGGTATGATCGATTGCCCCCAAGTAAGCTCGCTTTAATTGCTCCACTCCAGCCTCTTAGGCCCAGAGCAACCCAAGCTCAACATATGTTGTCGAAGAGGTCTACCCAAAACAATACGAGAAAATCAAACGGGCGGCCGCAACAATTGATGGTTGGGACTGGATGGGACTGACCCTTACTACCCTTCATCAACCCGCTTCTTGATCTTGGCATAGTTCTGTCATGTGCGACTAGTGCTCACCTTCCCTGTCTGTTTTGGGATCCCCAAAATTGCATTTCGGTTCTCCCGTTTGGTTGCCGTATTTAGAACCACCAAAAAGAAGGAGGCACGTAACTCCCAAAACGACGAGGCACCCATGTCCGACATCCACCAATCCATCGACTCGGACGGAGCGCCTTGCGGGTGATCTTCAAGGCGCTGAGAGTCGTGGACTCCGCCTTGATGGTGGCCGTGCGCGGCTCGTCCCCTCGGCCGAACAAACGTTCGGCGCGCAACTGGTTTAGAGTTGGTACCTGCTTCTGACAGGGTGGTCGTTCAAAGGGACTCTAAGGGAAAACACCCATTGTAGGGGGCCCCCCAAAACCAAACAAGCCCGGCTCAGCCCGGCTTACGCTTTTGCTGAAGTCCTTGTGTTTCGCCAACACGAAGCCTGCAGATTCAAGACTTTGCTTCAAGATTCAAAGGTAGTGCTTCTTTTATAACAACTCGTCAAGAGAGCAAGTTTTGTGAGATGCACCTGTCTTCTCTGGCCATATCAGGCGCAAAGTGTAACTAGTGATAACTAGTGAACTCCCCCTTTCACAACAAACGCGCTCTCACACGCAGAGAAAAACAAAAAGCACGGATCGCCAACCGCCGCGAGTGCCGAGAACCTGCCGTCGGATTTTTGTTCAAAGGCTTTAGCCGCCGGACCCATTGGCCTTTCGACGCCGAGGCACGGAGGAGCGCCTTCTCGCCGAAGTAGTCGCCCGCCTGGCCACTAAGCTGCTCTCAGTTCGACTGCGCGGCCAAATCGGCGGTATCAATGAATGAACGATATGGCGGACTCCGACCTGAGCGAAAAACATGAATCCCAAAGTAGGAATCGAGGTGAGCAGGTTGGACAGGCGATGGGTCCGATCACAGCCGCAAAGTCTGAAACCATCAAAGAAGCGTCACATGGACACACATGTGTGTGTGTGTGTCTCAAAACCGGAGAATGCCCAAAAGTGCGGTGCCCCCTTGGTGGTCCTTTGAAATGACCCAAAAAAGGATTCCCTCAAAACAAAGGACAGACACAAAATGATCCGAAAAGCAAGATCCAAAAAAAATCGAAAGGTTGCGCGACCTCGCAGGATGCTCTGGGAATCCCTTCGGCTATCACGGTCGATATGAGTGCAACCAAAATGATGGCTTTCCTTTTGGTGTCCTTTTAAAAACTCCAAAACGGCTTGCAAGCTTCTTTGACAGCTTAAGGAAGCTTCCGCAAAATATCCTCCAAGACATTCCCCCCCCCCCCCCCCAATGCCCCCATAAGAATTCACCGGCAAACCCGGGCCACACCTTGAGGCCGGCCACCTTCTTCATCTCCCCCGTCTTGTCGTCCGCGACCTTTGAACGAGTGCCGGAGCCCTGAATCCGGCAATGAATTGGCTGTTGTTCAGGCACCCGATGGCTACGTTTCGGGACTACTTCGGGTCAAGTTGAAGTTGAGAAGACACGCCAGGGATCAGTGTCTAAAAAGTTATATTATTTTTATGAGTCGCAACGGCGTCTTGAAGCTAATGACTTGCTGAAATGCTCTATACGGTGCAATTGTTCCAAGTAAACAGAGGTCAAATGCTGAAACCTCTGTCGTGCATTGTCCAACTCCGTCGAATGGCACAAGCCAAAGTGAGCGAGGGCAACCTTCTCTGGAATCCCAACCTACGTACATTGCATATGCAGTGCCGACTCGACCAAGGCTCGCCCTGAACCCATCTTGACAAAGTTAATGGTGAAGCTTGACAGGGTTGACAAGGCCAGTGGATTGGCGGGGTCTGGATAAGTGCGCGACCTTGAACCCACCTCTACCAGGGATGAAGCGAATTCACGAACTTGATCTCTATGCTTCAAGCCGCGATCAAATACGGTTGATGGACAAATCCTGCACCACTCGGTAGGTCTTTCATCCCAATATTCCTAGGGTTGTATCCAAGATGCAAGATTTGGTCCACCAACAGCTTTACCATGCCGAGCTGCCAGAGAATGTGTCAAGTTCAACTAGGCCATGTCGGAATGCGCACCCATTGCACTGGTTTTGATGCCCCAAACATCAGCCAAGTATGGAAGGGGCAAATAACCGTGCCTCAAAACACCCCAAAACCCCTTCACTTGTTGCCAACAATTGGAGATCCATCAAGCCTCAAAGCTCAACCGCGCGGGGGGGGGGGGGGGAGGGTGGGTGTTCTCCTCCAAAAGTGGTCTGATTCCAACCACTAAACCCAGGTTGACCTCCCCCCCCTACCAACAAACCGGTAATGAATTTAATATGGAACTAGAAGCTAACCTAAGATTGCTAGAATCTAGAACCTACTAGAACCCCAATTCCTAACCCTTTGGTTGGGTGCTATTGCTGGGCTGCCGGGCGTACACGGAAGCTTCCCCCTGGCGGATCACGTAAAACTCCTGGCCGTTCTCCCCCTGGCGGATCACCGTGTCCTGCGACGCGGGGCAAATCCAACTCTCGGCACGAAGCTTCCAGCAGAAGAGGAATCCAAGAAAAAGAGCCTGACGTGGAGGTGTGTGTGTGTGTATGGTTCCCCAAAATAAGGCATGGCCTTCCTGTTGGCTTCCCTCTCAAGAGAGGTACTCAAAAAAGACACGCCATATTCCCTCCTTCAAAGGTTGATCGACTTTTTGGCAGGCTCTCATCTGCCCAATGGGGTGCAAGCGGTGCACCTAAATCTGCGTACAATGATCCTCAATCTCTTACCCTCTGGCAAATGACGCGTAGGTGGGGTTGGTTCCAGTCAGCTTGGAGAATCCCCAACATGGGTAGTTCCCGGTGGGCAACAAAATATCCGTGAGGCTGCATATTTACCCCGAAAAACTCAAGCTGGCAGCTTAGTGCAGCTGGTCGACCCCAAAAGTCAAAATTAGAGCCCTTGTATATCAATCAGGGTAATGCCACGTTCACACCAAGTTTGATGACTTGGTTGTTGTTGACGCTGCAAACCGTTCAAGTTTAACCTTTCTGCGGGTCCAACGGAAAGTCCACGGTTTCTCAACAAGTCAAAGTCCAAAAATAGCCATAAAGATTTGACCCTTTGAAGTCGATCCCCACTTACACCGGAGCCGGCCCGCGGCAAGGCCATCCCCGCCTTGCCCCCACACACCCACACTCAGCCTCTCTCAGCCTCAACAAGCTGCTGATCTCTCACAACCTGTCCCCACCCCTACCCACCTTTCCCTTACCCGCCTTCCCCCCCCCCACCCTGCCACTCAGGCAAACCAGGTAAAAACCCCCCGAGCGGTCCCCTCGCTTGAACTCCGCGCCCTCGCACACGCTGGCCACCAAGGGGTGCTGGTCCTGGCGAGGAATCGGGTGATGCATCCTCTTTACTCGCGATGCTGTCCGCCCAGAATGGAACCCCGCGTCCTCTGGCTCGGTTTTTTTTTCAGCCACACCCATGTTGTAATTCTTCGATGTTTGCTGGGCCACGGGCCACGACAATTTTTGAGATGGTCAACCGTTCTTTTATTTTGACCCCACCTTTTGGTTGAACGGATCGCAAAGAGATTTGGAACAAATTGGAAACCCAAAAGCCGGACCCAAATGGCTTCCCTATGGCTCTACGCAGGGCTTCCAACTGGAGAATACGAGTCAAGTAGATACATGTCTGGGAATACCAAGTGGATCGATGCCAGTTTCGGGTCCCTTTGGTCGGCCCCCTCTCGGTGGATGGACAAAATCCATTTTGTACAGTGTCCATGGAGCTTCATCCATCCCAACTGGGGGCGAAATGGATTCTGTCCATCCACAGAATGAGTTGAGTTGCCTTGGGTTGCGTTATCATGGCATGGCAACAAGGATTTTTCTTGGCATTCGGCAGTGGCGATGCGGTGTGCCCAAAAACAAAGATGTGAAGACTCTTCCCAGTGCTTGAAGGCGGCAAGAATGACACTGGCACAACTTGACGCAGACAAGTCGGTGTGAAAGGAACCTTGCCGAAACCAAAAACCTCCCGCCTCAGTCCAGAGGTTTGTGGAAACACGGCCTTGGGCCGTGCCACCCCTTAGCCCCCAGCCCGCCCAATGGCCTTGGGCAGGCGCTTCATCAAGGGCACATGCTCCAGGAACTGGAGCTGGGCCTGGTACGCCCGGTTCTCATCCTGGCAATGGAATCCGGCGAACGCGGGGAGCTGTTGCGTTTCAGGGGCCCTTGGGCTTCTTAGGCTGAAACATCGAAGCTTACTTCGGTTTGGATGCGGCTTTTGTGGTTCCACCGCTGTAGAATGTTAAAAGAGTACAAAAAAGAACCTACAGGGAGAAGAACTGGTGAAATCCACAAAAGGCGCATCCAAACCGATTTCTAGATTGTTTCATGTCTCTCCTACGGGATGACACAAGAAGTCAAAGGCAAGTCGGGTAAGTTGGGGGAGCTGAGAGAGGCGGTCAACACCGCTCTTTGCAGTCTACTTCACCGCCTTCAACAGAACTTACAATCTTCACAACCAGGCCCGTTCACGAGTATTCTGGATCAACAAGCGAGCTGCAAATTTGCAAATAGCACTGGATTGCCAGGCAACTAAGTCTCACATCCTGTGGCTATCTAAGGAGGCAAGGTTGCGAAGACTTGTTTACCAAACTCCCCACAAAGAGACCTCCTGCACACACACCACCCAACATGTTCAGACCACAAAAATCAAGGCCATTGATGTCGAAAATTCTTCCACCAGCACGCTCTCAACCTTGCTGGCGCTCAGTAGGGAATGAGTGACTGACCCCTATGAACCATCCAACTGGTGGATTCCCTAAAGGGGACCAAAGCCCGGACTCCTTCCAATTCTCCTTCCCTACTTATCGGACTCAGCAAAAGCAACCGGCGCTGCCAGAATCCAGCCGCGCGCCTTGGCCGCCTTCTTGTCCTTGACCCGGTCCTCCGGGCTGGGCTTCTTCTTCTGCGTCTCCTGCCGATCGGATCGGATCGCCGGGTTTGTTTGGAAGGGCGATCGGCTCGGATTTTTCGGGGGGGCGACACCAGGCGAAGGCTGGACCTTTGGCCTTTTGGTTTGGTACCTTCAAGAATCCAGCACATTCTTTCGTATTTTTTGTTTGGGAGACGGGGAGGGGGGGCGGGGGGAGACACATACATTTGCCGAAGGTAGTATGAAAAGGGCCATCTTGACCGATTGCAAACCAAGCGGAGGACGGTAGAAACCCATCTCAAAATAAGATGTTTCGGAGTGCTCGTGCGGCTCAACTCGAGAAGCCTTGGTATGCTTGATGCCTTAAATGTCTGGCAAGGGAACAAAGAAAACGCTGTGGCTTAGAGGTTCGTGGTTGTTCAAGGGAAATTAGTTGGCTTACTTGCGATTCGTACTGTAGATACCTCTCCAGCCGTTTAACGGGTATCCCAAACCAAAACAACTGGTCGGACCGACGAAACAAACGCCTGGGACCCTTTTTCCTATTGTTCCCGTGAAACGCAAGGAGACAACCAAAGGGAACACAAGGGGTATAATTCAAAATTGTGCTCACGTGGGAAGCACACAAAGGGGTAGAACCTCAAAAAAAAAACACAAGCAAAAAAAAACGAGCCCACCTGAAGCCTGAAGTCCCGGCACCCAGAAGCTGAACCCTCCGCCCGCCTCAGCACTGGCACCGCAGCCCATGATTCCTGGCGCCATATTCAAACCAGGGTCCTTTTCGGCTTCTGATCTTCTGGCCCTGGTCTGTCGTTTTTTGAGACCCCCAAAATGGCGTAGTTGTCCTTTTGGATTGCCTTTACTGCCAATGTTGGATTACCTTCAAAGAAATCATACCCGAATTCAGGCCCTAGTTCTGGCAGGTCGAACTATGGGACTCCGGGCAGGCAGACAAGCTCACCAGTGCGAGATAAAACAAGTGATTCCACCAAAGATGAACGTTCCCTACATGGGGATTCGGCAAATTCAGATTTGGGATAGCGATTGCCCAGAACCATTCGAAGTTTGGATCTGGCAGTCAGAAGCAGGGGGTGATTTTGGCATACCATAGCTTGAAGACCTCCAATTCAACTTCTGGCAAGTCCCTAACTCACAAATCCGGAAGGAAAACAAATCCCAAAGTAATATCGACCCTCCATCTCGGGCAAGATCCCTTTTCACCAGGCTTCCCCACTAAGCTCGACAGCTAATGCAGGAAACATGCCCCCCAAAAGTGCTCCCTGAAAGCCAAACAGCCAAGTTCTTTGATGTCATTCCTGGCTTGTGCCCATCATGTGCCGATGAGATCTCCCGGAAACTGCCCTTATCATTAATCCATGACAACTCTTTCTTGAAACCAGGGACACCTCCAAATATCTGGTTTCCTCTTGACTGCTCTGGCAACGCAAGAACACGGTAGATGTTTTTCTATGCTTGCTTCTTTTCCACCCCAACCTGCGTGCGAAAAGGCTTCCCCCATCCGCATCCGCGCCTAAACAGCCCAGGAACCTAACCCCTTCTAACCCTTGGCCTTGAGCCAAAAGCACTGCGCGCAGAGAAATGCCGACATCTTCTCACAGAGCTACGCTGCGTAGCTCCAACGACCCGATGGGATAGAAAATGGGGGGCTTGTCTTCTTGGGTGTTGGTTCCCTCGTTTTGGTAGGATTTAAAGGGAAACCAAAAGGAAGACCACCATTCTTCGACAACCACCGGACACAGGCGCGCCGACCGACGAACAAAAATCGGGGGCAAAAGTCCTCCAGCTAAAAATCAGAGGTCTGCATCGCTCAAAGATTCCTCTGATTCATTAGACCATCCATTTCTAAAATGGGACACCCCCCACTAGCTCCATGTCCAGACACTCAAATTGCAACCTCCCCCCCCTCCCATGAGTTGGGCGCATCAAACCTGGGACCAAGTCCAAACTCGCGGGTGGCCAAGGCCCATTTCTCCGCAACGCGGCGCTCACTCCTGCGGGCCGCGTGCGAATGCGTGCGAGGTGAGCCATGCTAGCGGCGATACAAAAAGATGTGCTTTGTGTTTGGTTTTGGTAGTGAATACAAAAATAACACTACGCACATTTGCATGTGTATATGTATATTGTATATGTGATGTGTGTGTATGTGTGTCGTCATCCTCTCGGCAGCGGGCTTGGAGGGCACGAAAGTTGCAGCATGTTGCAGGCGCTACATCCCAAAGTGATGAATCCCAGAGTAGAAACATGTGAGTTGTTTTTAGGTTCTCCCCAAACAAACAAAAAACGGTTTCCTTCTGATTGCCCTTTGTCCTCAACGGGGGGACCCTAAAAAATGGACGAGTGGCCTCAATGAGAATGATCCTATCGGGGTCTTGCGAGGGCGGTGGGAATGAACCAGGCGCTCTACTTATAGATCCGGGGTTGACAGGAGAAAGCTAACAAACACATTGACGGGTCCTTTGTTCTGAGGGTGTCCTTTTTGGTGTCGATTTTGTGGGAACCAAAAGGAAACCACCACTCACGGACAAAATTACGCAAGTGTTTCTCCACAGGACATGGGGAAATTATGTGGACACCTGCTGGTGTTGGTGGAAAACATTGGGAGACTGACAATCTATTAATAACATTGTCAGGCACCATGAGTTCGGGAAACCACCAACTCACGCATGAAACGCGCCACCAACATCTACAATCTGCATCATGGAACGGCGAAACGTTTTCGTGTGGAAGAGTTTTGGTTGCGAGCCCTCGTTTAGAGGAAGGTCACCAGAGTCACGTGGTTGTTCATGTTGCAGGTATGGCATTTGATGCAACACAATTGCAAATGGCTGGAGGGCAAATTGCGAAAACGTCAGACTTGAATATCTATGATGCAACAGTGTCCTCGCCTATCATGTTCCTTTGCATGCGAGGTCTGAGGAAGAAGGAATATCCAGGATTATACAGAAAGAAGATATGCATGACGAATACATAAAACCATTAAAATATCAGGTAATTTCTGATGGTCAACCACCTAAAAGTTTTTGGAATTGCGAAACGTCACTTGAGTTGTGTTTTGTCCTCTGTCATGTTAAACAACAAACACCATGTATTTTATGAGTTCACGCGTTTGAACACCTTCCATCTCCCTTGGGACATCTGCCCCTCTCGGGTTTTTTCTCACGAGACCCAAAATGTTTGGCTTACCCCAAGGTCCCCAAAAAAGTGCTACCCCAAAAGACGTCGTCACGCTGCTTGGGTCTCCTGTTGCAAGGGATTTCCCATAACCTCCCGAAATCCAACAAAAGCACAACAGAGGCTACTGTAGGGTTACTGGGAGGGTACATCCAACAAAACAGGAAGTTTCCTGTAAACCGGTAAACCTCCATCCAGCATCCGGATTTCAACCCACCAAAGGGCCGACATAAAACTAACACAAATGGAAAACCAGATTTCAGCCCACCCAAACAAACCGCCGAGCTTCTTGGACCGCACCGGGCGGATCGATCGGGGCCTGGCGCTTTTCACCGCCGCGATGAGCTCCTCGGAGAGCCCCGCCTTGCGCCGGGCGGCCAGGGCTGGGAAGCCCTTGCCCCGGGCCTGCGCTGGGAGGGCAGCGGGGCTGAGCAACTCGGAGCGGGCTTGGAAATGAAGGGCTTTTTGGCACCGGAATTCCAGGGGGGGAAGGTGGGGGTCAGTTTTTGGTTGGCTGTTGCATGCTAAGGGCCATATCCATATCACGTGTCGTGATTCGTTTTCAACACGTGTGACACACATTCTCCGTGGCCCCAAAGTCAAACCGGTTGCAAATGAGGACGTCGAGCTCTGCGGGGCGAGCATCTGTGTGACACGGTAATGGAGCTAGAAAGGAACATGACGTCCCACTGTGTGCGGGTGGACGAATCATGCACTTTTTTGAGACTATGGGAAACTATTGCTTGTTGGTGTTCACAGGGGAATCATCACGCCAGGGTTTCTTAGGTGGTGAGGATTTCGTCCATCCACAGAGCAAGATTTTGCCCCTTGGGTCTACGCATGTAACGATTCAGTCATCCGGAAAGACATCATGAATCTTGGATCCCATGTTTTCTAAGTTGCAAATCAGGGTGTGCCTACAACTAGGGGAACCCCCAAACAGGTGATGTTTCTGTTGGATTCCTTTTACTCTAGAAAGAATACCTTCAAAGAACAACACACCCTCTTTAGCGGGCTGTTCAGCAAAGGGCAGAGAGAGTCGTTATGTGGGTTGATCAAAAGATCCTTTACGTGGGATGACCATTCGGGCAAACCAGTAAAACATGATATGGTGTGACGTGGGAAAAGTTACCCATGTTACCCATGGTCAAAACTGGGGCCTGCATGGAATACTGAGATCAACCCATGTCTTGCTTTGAGGGCATTGCCCGTGTGGAAGAACCCCGAGGCAAAACCGCTGATTTCGAGTGACACGCGCGCTCCAAGCTGTTGCGCTGCACCGCCGGGCCTTGCAGAGGCCAAAGGCTGGCGGACCGCAAAAGCCTCAGCCAAAGTGGATCGGCGATGGGAAATCCCCCCCGACACAATGATCCCCAATTGTGTACTGCACGTCCAAAGGCTGAATGAAGAATTGCTGGAAAAACTCACTCTCAACCCCCCCACACACACACACACACACACACACACACACACACACACACACACACACACACACACACACACACACACACACACACACTGATTCCTGCAAATTGTGCTGCATGTCCAAAGGCTGAATGAAGAATTGGATCCCCAAGAAAAGGACCTTGGCCATGGTGAGCTCGTTTTACCCCAAGGTGAGCGCGGCAGAATGATTCTCCTGTTGCATTCCATGGCTTATCCCAACATCCCACCTGCATGCCATTTAGTTTGTCAACAAAGGGAAACCCTGAAGTGCAGCTTTTTGGGGTCCGGGGACAAAAACAAAGAAGACGGGAACTGCCCCGCGCCCAGGCTGGCGTCGCCCTGCCTTTTGACCCTCCCCTCCCCGCCAGCGGGCAATTGAGCGCCGGAAAGAGGAAGAGAATGGGCTCACGGTGAAGCGGTTGGTTTGTAAGGGAAAAACGAAACCGGCCCAGAAAACGAACCAACCAACCCAACCCAACTAAACCAAAGCCAACCAACCTAACCAAACCAAACCAACCAACCAAATGAGTCACAATAAAAGCCTGGTACTAAAGGGGTCTAACCAACCCAAAAGGGCGGACATCCGCACAAATTTCTGGCAGGGGCCTTCATCTACCCGGTGTCTTGAAACGTCTCAGGCAGTTTTTTTACTTGTTGCTTCTCAGAAACCTCCAAACAATCCCCAATCGAACCAGCAAGGCGCAACCAAACCAACCAAACCAAACCAAACCAAACCAAACCAAACCAAACCAAACCAAACCAACTGACTGCCAAACCAACCCAAGCCAAGCCAAGCCAAGCCACCCAAACCAACGAAACCAACCAACCCAGGCCAACCAAACCAACTCGCTACGTCTTCTCTCAGCTCCGCCGAAGGTCGCTGGTAGAGAGCGAGGTCCTCCAGCTCCGTGCCCTTGGCCCCGAGGTCCTTGGCTCCGGGCATTGACCGAGTTCCAAAGACAAAGAAGGGCTCCTGAGATGCCTAGTGGATTCCATGGGAAAAAAAGGGCATCGTTTTTTTTGGCTGGGCGACTTTACATGGAACATATTCCCACAAAAAAAGGGAAAAAGGGTACCACTGGGCAACTGGGGCTCCTTGGCTCCTGGGCTCCTTGAAGGGAACTCGGGAATTCAGCCAGAGAAGGACTTGGATTTTGTTCTATCAGATTTTGGATCTTGGGTTTTGGATTTTGGAGTTTGTTCTAATAGATTTTGGATGTTGGACTTTTGACAAAGAAGGGTTCCTTGGTACATCCGGAATCCACCTCATGTCAATTGCATGATGAATCTTCGATCTTCAATCTTCCCTCCAGTGCTATGCTAGCATCCCGGGTTGCCCCAAGTATGCATGCCAGAATTATCCAGAACTAAAGTCTAAAAGCAAGTGCACTTTAGAGAATCAGTTTTAGGAGGACACCAGTGCATTTGTCTTCAGACTTCAATCTTGGCCTGAGTTGTTGAATAAAAATGTAGGCAAGGAGAGCATGCTTCAAGCATCAACATGAGATGCAAAGTGTGCATTTTGCCAGGAAGAAACGCGTGTTTTGAGAACACTTAAAAGTTGTTTGGTTGGCTTGAGGGCTCGCCAGGATTGAAGATTCTCATAAAAAAAAAAAGCTGTTGGGGGGCTTGAGGGCTGACCAGGATTGAAGATGTTGTAACAAGCTCTGTGGAATGTTGAATATTCATTCTAAAAACGATCTGAGCACACGCTGAAAATACTGTGTTTTGCAGCGTTGTGTGCCAAGAAGAAAGTCCATACTTAAAAGGTTGTGCCGTCTTGAGGCTGGCAAAGTGTACATCCCGAACTACTCTTGTGCTGAAAGGGTGAGTTTTTTGAGCTGGAGCCGTCACTTCATCTCAGAGTCTCAAGGCATCTCTCACTTGGCGGGGTAGAAACATGTACTGATGTACTTGCATTTCTTGCCCTGGGGCACCCACCTCAGGATGGGCAATTCAACCCCGTATTCCTGTTTCACCGAGCTGCTGATTCGGAAGCTTAAGGGGGTTGGAATCGAGTCTGGTGGTTGAAACAACCAGGTGGCTTCAAAGCCATCCAAAAAGGGTACCGAGTAAAAACACCCAATGACTTAAAATGGCAAACAAACTTCCCTGTAAGTGTCCCTTCAAACATCCAATGGGACTCCTACAATGGCCAGGGCCTTTCTTCTCCTGTTTTCCAAAAAAAAGTAGAAAAAAAAGGTCCGAACTCCAACCCCCCCCCCCCCAGCCCCTCACAAGGCCTTGAGCGCCTTTTTCAGCGAGCACGCCCCCCCCTCCTCCCCTCCTCCCCATCCCCGGTCCTTGGCTAATCGCTTCACCCAGAGCCGCGCCAGGCGCACGTGCTGCACCTCCTCCGCTCGCGCTCGCGCCGCGCGCGCCGCGCCGATAGGTCGTCGGGGAGCCGCCCAAATGGCTCGGGCGGTCGCGATTTTCAGACTGCCCCCTTTTTAGGGGTTTAAAAGGGGAACCATAACCACCACTTTGGGGGAGGGGGGGGGGTGTGGCAGAAAAAAGACACTCCCATGGTTCTCTTTTCACAGGGGCTTCGGAGAATGGCGCAAACGGGGGCTTTTAGTGCCCAGATGCTCAAACCCACCAACTGGAGGTGTGGGCAGTGTTGGCTCTCGCACCTCTCGTGGCTCTCCTCATCGTGCACCCGTTGCAGCACCTTGGCACTGGCCTCATCTCCGGCCTCGAGACCGCGAAAAAGGCCAACGGGAGAGGAGAATTCCACGGCGCACGGCTGCGGAGAGTTCCAATGGGAGGGGCGAACAGGGTTTCCTCCATGTCCCTTTTTGGAACCTAAAGCGGCGATTGCTTTAAGCGGGGATTCCAAAAACCAATTGCATTTTTGAAGAGGAAATCCAGTGACGCCTGTTTCAGGCAAGGTTGTTTCGTCATGACTATAGGAGCAAACTATGAATGATTCAGCCTTTATATTGCATGCGATCCTCAAGGGAACTCAAATAAAAAAAATCCACAGAACGCTTGGAATGCCAGTAAAAACAAAAACTTGATATGACATGAGTCAAGCAACAATATTCAGGCAGGCCAAATATTATCCAAAGAGAGAATCCCAAAACATCTACCAACGTTCACTCCTCATTCAAAACCCCCACTTCGTGAATCAGGTGGGCAAGCCTTTGGAAGACAGGTATCCACACGAGAAAGGGAGCCCCTCATTCAAAAGTGGTGCATGCTGCATGCCTCAGGGGCTTTAGCGCAGAAGGTTTGCCGCGCCTTGATCCACACGATAACAAGGATCGGTCCCAGATGCAACGACGCCGTTCAACCTTTCACCCAGACGCGTTACTCACACGTGAAATCAACTCCTGGTGTGGTTTTGCTACCAACAATGCAATATGAAATAGAACCACAAAATATAACATGAAAATGCTGCGCTTTTTGGTCTCAGGATCCACAGCATACCCCCAATCGCAGCATGCTGTGATTTTGGGAGAACCAAACGGCGGCTCTCTCCGTTCAAATTGGGGTCAACTGCGTCACTGGGTGCCACACAGGGCTCAGGAAAAACTAAGAAACGATCATCCCGTTTAGGCTTCTTGTTGAAAGTCAAACAAGTTGTTGAGGATTTAGCAGCCGGACACAAACCCGGCCGCCCAACCACCCGACCACGTACTCTGCCTGGCGGAAGATGTCGCGGTAGCGCAGTGTGTGGTCCAGGTTCGCCGCTTCAAAGGTAAGGCCTCGCGGAATGGTACGGGGCCTCAGATGCCTCGTGTGGGTGGCAGGTGCCTTATGTTTTTGTGTCTGATTCATCGATTTGTTCCGCCTTAGTTGTTGTGCTTTACTGGGTCTGATTCTTTTCGGTGCATTGCTGGACTCATGGAACATCGTGGAACGAACTCCCAAGTCTCACAGATTTGAGGCGGTTCCAAGGGGACCCAATAGAATGGTTGGTTTTTTCTTTTGGCTTCCTGCTTGAAGACCAACTAAAAAGATCCGTAAAGTTGGGACACCCCATACAAATTGTGGTTCACGTAGACATGGGAAACCGAGGGTTGGACCTCTTGTTCTTCCCTGCAATGTAGCAAGTCATGTCTCGAACCCCAGATCGACTGTAGACTGTACCGGCAAATGCACGAACCTCAATGGGAAACAACTCAGTGCTCACACCCATCGAATTCTTAAAGCCCCCTCTCCCAGTGCCATCAGCAGCGAGCTTATGTGGGTATGGGTCAAGATTTGTCCACCAGGGGACCGTGCCCAGCAGCCCATGTTTCCGCTTACCAGGGATCTATGTTGGGTACCGATTTGTGACCCACTGCCGTGTGGTTTATACCTTCTTTCCAACGATCATGCATGTGGGAGCCCACCACATCCACCTGGCTTCCCTTTGAAAACGCCACAACACGGGCACCAACTCGAGCAAGAAAAAGCGAACCGCCCCGGTTTCGAACCACTCCATTCCCCGCCTAAAACAACAGCGAAATTGGATACCAACTCCAAAACAAAAGGCAGCTAAGAAATGAGAAGCAACACAACAGAAAAGAACCCGCCATAAGCGATCCTTTGGTCAGATATAGATGGGCTTCCCGTGGTAAATGAACGGCATAAGGTCAATGTTCATACCAGTGGAGCTCTATTTCTAACCAACTAACAGATCTGGGTGAATTATAATACTTCACCAACCTGAAATAAGGTGCTTTAGGGGCTACTCCCAACATAAACCACCATTTCGGGTGAGGTCGTGTGGGGTCCTTATAACTCACCCAGATCACAAGGACGGCCATGGACCCCGCACCGCGGCTTGCAGGACTCGCGCCTACGCCGCACAGGAAGGCGCACAGCGGGTGCTCTGCAGCGCGCACGGCCTCGAGGCCCTGCCAAAGGTAGCCTGGCATGGCTGACGCGGGCGGGGGGGAAGCTAGCAGCGAACCCAAAATGGCACTGGGGTGCAGGGCTCCACTTATTTGCGACCCCAAGGAAGACTTTAAACCCAGCGGCTCTTCCTTTGGGGGAAATGGACCGCCTTGGGGTTGCAAAAGTGGACCCCTGGTTGGGTGAATGTAGACACCATTGCTTTCCATGTTGGTGCAACATCACTACCCGGATAAAGGGAAGAACTGAAAGGGTGGTAAACCTCTCACCTTCCCGTTTCGGGTCGCACAGACCTACGTTCCAAACTCGCACCTGGCCCATTTCTCGGTCCCGCCAATTCGCACCCGCCCCTTTCCAATGCGCGTCAACTCGGTTCTAAGGGCTAAGTCGTGCTGAGCAGTCTAACCTGGTGCAGGTGATCGGGCGGTGGCGCACACGGCAGGGTTTTGCATCATCCACAATTTGGCGCTTTCCAGGCGAGAGCCAATTTTCGGCCTCTGTTCCAACTTGCATCGCACCTACTCTCTTCTAACTAAAGTTCTAACTCTCACCTGGCCCTTTTCTCCTGGGCTCAATCTGTTCCGTTTCAGTTCGCACATGGCTCTTTCACATTCGCGCCTAGCCAGTCGCACCTGCCCTTTTTCTAGCTCGCACCTGGCCCTTTCTCCCAGGCCTCGCCAACTCGCGCCTGCCCCTTTCCCGTTCGCACCTGGCCCTTTCCGAGTTGCACCTGTTGTTTTCAAGTCGCAGCTGGCTTCTTTCCTGACTGGGCTCTTACCAATTCGCGCCTGCCCATGTCCAATTCGTAGCTTGCGCATTCCAATTCGCACCTGCTCGCGCCCTTTTCCAGCTCGCACCTCAAGCTTGTGTTACAGGCGTTTTGCGCTTTCACTTTCCAAGCCTCCCATCTTTGTTTTATTTTGGCCTTGCGGCCTTACTCTGCCAGGTCTCAAAACTGAAGCAAAATCAACGCGTCCACAAACGGCAGTACATATCCGTTCTATGGTTTGTCTACGGCTTGTCAATGGCCCGCCCGAGATCCTAGAATGTGGAGAAGCATAGTGGGCCCCTGGCTTCCTGCTTCGTGATAATACTGTGTGGTTTGCGCATGGTTTATTCATCTGTTTAGCCATGATTCTCCGCAACAAAGCCAGCCAACTTGGCTGTAAGACAACAAATAGGAGAGGCCCCTGGCACAATTGTTTCAGGTTCGAGGAAGACTAGGGAGAAGATGGAAGTGCGCTTGCTCCAGTGGGAGCTCGTGCGACGGGTCCGAATCTTCTCTTTCTCTGACCCAAAGAAATCGGGGCAAACGGCCGCGAGTGTTTCTATTGAAAACCAGCACCTCACGGTGGCGTTTCTTCCAAGGGTAAGAGCCCCGGCCCAGGCGATTCATTGGGGCAAACTGTTTGAAGGTAGACACTACCCTCCCACCCAAAGCCGAATTGCAGGTCAATTCGAGGCCGGGCTTCATGCCAATTCTTTGGGTTGCACGGAACACCAGCATCTTTGCAAGGAAGGCTTCCTTTAAAGTCAAGCTTCGCTGCGAATAAACGGGAAGTTAAATATGTCCGTCCATTTCAACTGGGCGATTCTTCCTTGTGCGGCTATGCAGGTCCTTGTATGTCCCTCTGCATCAAGGGGAATACCCTCCCAGCAACACATGGAATGGACAGGGATTTTTGGAAGAGTCCTTTCCTGGGAACAGGTTCGGTGCGCTTCCCTGTTCAATCAAGAAGTCTAAAGATCCTTGCACCACGGCGGATACCACAAATATTGCAAGCAAAGAAAACCAGCGATCCATCTATCTTGCACCGAAGTTTTCTATAGTTTCCGCACTTTACCACGGCTATGTGGTATGCTGGTGTATGGCTGGCTTACTTGCATGGCAGGGGCATCCACACCGTCCTCGCCCAAACGAATCGCTCCTGACACAGGCGCACAGCCCAGCGGCTGCCGCGGGTCTGCGCCGTTGGCAGCGGCGCGGTCCAGGTAGAGCTGGCAGTGCTGCTGCTCCTAAACTGGGCTGTCCGTTTTCAGATGGCCATGGGTCAAAACCAGTGGGATCCCATTTTGGGGGTTATCGGTGCACCACCCATTTTAGAACCGATTTTAGTGGGGATTGGCATGTTCACTGGGGGAACAGGGTTTTGACCCACAGCCAGATCCCCTGCTAAAAGTTACTGTTTGGTACTGTCAAAGCTGCGGGGTGCCATGACATGCATGACGCAGACCGCTTCTCTTTTCGGGGGGGGCCCTGCTTTCTCCACTTTCTGGCCCCTCTCAAACGGAAAAGGGGCGATCGGGTCGGTTCCGATCATGAACTTTCAATAAATTAAATGGACACCTCCATTAAACCCTAAAACTGGGAACCGCCAAGTAGGGTCGGGGGTACTCGTTTGGGGTTAACCCAAAAGGACAGACCTGTTTTGGGGATAGTTTAAAGGCAAACCACAAGCCGAGATCCATTTCCGACTTTGAGAACCCACAAAATCACCCCAAGCGCCAAATGGAATTGAACACAGGGGTCATGCACTAAAAGGACACTTCTGTGTTCTACTCCCTTGGCAACCCAATGGTGGAACCCTGCCCAACACCCCCCACGCCACCCCACCCACCCCCATCCCTACCCTACCCCCCGCTCGCCAAAAAGACGGGTGGTACCGTGGATGCCCGAAATACTGCAATTGTAAACCAACCACACCCACCAAAAGTTCCCTTTGCTTGCAATAGCCTCCCCAACCGCCCAGCACCCCCGCGCCCGACAAAACGACGGGTGGAACTGTGGGTGGACAAAATCCATTTCGCACAACCTAAAAACCCAGGAATGATTCAATCCCCGACACAAATACCAACAAACTCCATGGTTTCAACCGTGGTTTCATTTCGTGGCGCGAACGGAGTTCGCCACCATCCATATGGCCATGGGTCAAAAGCCCATACCCCCAGTGAACATCCCAATCCCCACTAAAATAGGTTCTAAAATAGGTGGTGCCCCGAAAACCCCCAAATTGTGCCCTTGGCTACTAAAATCGGTGCTGCACCTAGCCCAAGATGGGATCCCATGTGCTTCGACCGGCCGCATCTCGGCTCCTCCCGCAAGGTCCGCAGCAGGCCGCGGCGCAGGCTCCTCGGGGCCTCCGGGAAGCGCGCCAGGGCCCAGGCGAACATCTCGATGGCCTGCAGCTCCTGCGCCCCGCCCGCCGCAAACTCGAAGGAAGTAATACGAGGGGGTGCCACAAGGATTCTGGAGCCTAAATAACTCAAAATTGGGTTAAAGTGGAGCCTAAACAACTAAATAACACGACAAGTGGGGCAGGAATGGGTTGTGGGGCTGCTTTTTTAAAGCCAAAAAAAAAAGGGGCCAGATCGAAAACTGAGGGATCCATATGTGAATCTCAGGGTGTGAGGGCCTGACAGGCCGAATGGAAGCAACACGAGAAGGGGAACTGCAAGGTTTTCTGGGCGTAAATAGCTAGAATAGGGGCCATCTATGGCGGATTCCCTCCTTTTAAACAACCCAAACAAAAGTGCCCTCAAAACAAAACATGCCCTCAAAACAAAACATGCCCATCTAAAGAAACCGACCGAGAGAGCATGCAAAGAAGGAGTTGTGAGGCATGAGAGTGCTCCACCGGCCCTGAGAATTGGCAAAGGAGGCAGCTGCCGAGGCGCATGGTTGGCAAACTTCTGCAGAGCCTGCACTCGGGCCTGGCGCAGTCTGCAGCAAGAAATGCACGTGTCTGAGGGTCGGGCAAACTATGAAGTGTAGTCTACTTTAGTTTTGGAGGGACCTTAGGGGGAGGCTCACTGAATTTCCTGCCAAACACCGAGGGGCTCGCGGATTGTCCCATGTCCACTATGGAAACTGTATATTTTAGTTGTGGCTCATGCGCGGAATTTGCGTTATGGAGTTGCAGGGCCGCCACCCCCCCCCCTCCCCAAGCCGAACAGTCACGGGCGTGGGGACAAGGCTTGGCTGCCTGGCAGGTGCCAACTTGGATCAAATTCCAGGGCCACCTTTTCAAACATGCCACGCACAATGAGAGAGTTGAAGGAAGTGGCGTCCAGGAACACTCCGTTTCTTGGCAGCATACCCGAACCTCCCGCGAAATTCCCGTGCTCGAAAGGTATGTAGGAGGAAGCATGGAAAGTATCCCCTCTGACCCAAGGCCGGCACAGCATTGGCCCAAGGCCTCTGAGAACTAACAACTCTTCAGAGTGAAGTGGTTGGTCCTGCGGGGAATGAAAATCAATTCAAATTGGCAGCCAAAAGAACATGCATGCATGGTCTCGTTTTTGGGAGGCAAGAAATCCTTGTTCAAGATACACCGGGCCTCTCCTCGGGAGCTAATGACAAACCCAGAACATGAAGGGCACTCTTCCTTCATCGAGTTGAACCGATTTCAAGGGTTCCCTCAAAAAACACAAAGACCAGCCGTTTGTGCGGTTTCCCACCCGCTTTGCTTTTACGGGCCACCAAAAACGAACACCCAGCAACCCGTTTTGGGGGCTGGACGGACGTCGCAGTCGCAGTCGCGCAGTCGCAGTCGGCGCCTCCTGAGACGCCAGCAGCTGGGACATCTTTGGCAGCTGGTCCCCGCCCCGCTTGAGGCCTCCGGATCCGAAAAGCCGGGGGCGCTGGTCCCTGTGTGAAATGTGGGTGAAATCTGGGGGGATCCAGACCACTGGAAGGGAACACCCCCCAGATTCAACTGGGATTGGTTGGTCAATCTGGGTCAACATCACTCCCATGGAAAAAGAACCCGCCAGTGTAGAGGAAACGCCGTTCATGGGGAATGGAAGGCCCCCCCACTTTTGGGCTCCATGGCCCATTTATTGGGACCAACTTGATTGATCGGGGGGTTCCCGACATCAAACACTTGCAAATTGCTATGACTCGCCACGGGGAATATGGGCAATCCGCAAGTAAGAAGTTTGGGTCAAACATGAGCTCGTGTATTTCAGGTGAGGTCGTTACAACTTCTGCAAACCATTCTCACCCAATGCAAAGAAATCAAACCCAACTATTGGAGGTGGGTCTAAAGTAGACAGATCGGGTCCGGTCCCCAAAAGTCCCAATCTGGCTGTCGGGTCCCGGCGAGGCACATCCTTTCCCAATCCAACCTGATGCTTCGGTCGACTTGGCTCTCTGCACAGGTGGGGCCAAGGCATCAAATTCCGTTGATCTTGGTTCCGTCTCTTTGTGTGGGTAACTACCCTTTTTGGGCTTGGCTTAATCGAGGGTCTGGACCCCCATCCGAGAGCCTTCCCCACACGATGTGCGGCCCACAAAAAATGAGTACAGAACCCCAGCAAAAAAAAATGCACTGCCAAGCGTGAAGCCAATCGATCCCAAGCCTTGGCAAATGGCGATCTCCTCGTCGCGGTTGGGCCAAGCGATGTCCTCACGTGGCGGGCGCTCGCTGTCGAGGCCCCCCCCCCCTTCCCCCCGTCCCCGTTTGCCCATTTTAAAGGCAAAGAACGTGCTGCTTGGTCGGGGAAATCTGGGAAATCTCTTGAACCAAAGATCAAGGTTCAAATGTTTCGCGCAGGTCTGGTTGGTCTCACTTGAAGAGTATGGAACAGCACTGGAGCCACAGCCCGAGTCACTCCCAGACGTCTCCATGAAGCCAGCCACAGCCCACGTCGTCTTTCGAACGGTACCACACCAAAGAGAACATGACCGATGAAGGTATAGTCTATTGACACGCGTGCAGAAAAGTGCTCACTCTCTTCCATCTGGGGGACACATCTTTCAAAATCCACGTACTCCGCAATCCAGTGGGTGTGGAGCAACACCAAGTCCCAAGATGAAACCCAAACCCTCCGCCTTCGGTGCAGGGGTTTGTGGTCACGCAGTGCTTGTGTCTGGGGCCTGACGTGGACTTTCCACAATGTATCTTAACATGGGGGAACCCCCAAAATGGTTGGTGTCCTTTTGGTTTCCTTTTAGAACCACCCCAAAGAGGGGTACCCTTGAACAAAGACGCCCATATCCCACAAGAAATAGATTTCTCATTCTGGAGATTCCATGAAAACAAATGGTCTAAGGGGCTTCTGTTGAATTCACGTAAAACTCCCCAGAGCAGGGCGAGACATCACCACAAGTGGGGACTTCTTGCAGCTCCCAAGAAGCATCAGTTGGAGAATCCGCTATAAAAGGTGCCTGATTCTAGTTTGGCGCCCATGTAGCTTCCCCCGGTGGTTGGAGGTGTATTTCATTGGCCCTCAAGAAGCAGTGGTGCAGATCCGAATCCAAACCACCAATCCAAACCACCACTGGATACCCACACGATGGGGGCTTACAACCATGGGCTTGGTGCTTGCCAATTCCTCCCAGACCATTCTTCGGCTCAAGTATGGGGATCTACAGACCAGCCGCACTTCCCGCCGCGCGGAGTCCTCAGGCTCCGCAGGGACCTCCTGGAAAAACACGCTGAGGGATGGATGTTGGGAGTTTTCTTTGGGGTTGGTTACAAGAAAAACCGGCAGCCATTAAATTGGGGCTCCGTTTTTTCTCACTGAGAGGCGGATGGCATGTGACTTGGGGGCCCTTTCCAGCCACCTACTGGGGTATGTTTCAACTCATGCCCTGTTAGGAGAAAAGGCGTGCCAAAGCTGGGGGCATTTGGTACAGGGCTCAGGGGAGAACCATACCTGCGGCTTATCCGGCCTGTCTGCCTCTCAAAACCTCTCTCAAGCCATGCGTATCGACACAACGTGGAAGATCAGAACGCCTAAACTTCACAACCCTTGGTATGGTCGCAGCCCCCTACTAAAGATGAGTATAGAACCACAAAAAATGATCCAAGAAGCTTTTTCGTCACGTGCCAGGCTACCAAAACCAGAGACCTCATTCGAATAAGACATCAGGCAGGTCGCAACACATGGCGCATTCGCTTGCCGCCAGCGGGGCCATACTTTCCCGAGGGTTGGGACGGGCCTTTTGAACCGTTTCATCGAAACTCTCACAGGGGTCAGTGGATTTCCCCTTCAAAAGTTGCAATTAAGTCGTTGAAATTACCATTTTTGGAGGTTCCAAAAAGAGACATGGAGGAACATCTGTCTCCATCGCGCGCAAGGTTTTCCCGGAGCGCGCTAGGCATTGCGCCGAGGGCAGCGGGGAGTGTGTTTGACGATGTATCGCCAGGTCAGGTTGATGCGGGGCCTCTCAGACGCGCCCTCCGGTGGGACGCGGTGCTGGTAGTGCTTCTGCACCATGCCTTCCATGGTGCACAAATCCCCGTCGCAAAGCAGGAGCCTCAGCGAGGCCTCGGCGAGACTTATTTGTACGAAATCGAGTGGCCAATTTCGCCTGCCAAACAACATCAGTCTGTGGACATAGAGGGGTCGTGGGGCCAAGGGGGAAAACCAAGGGAGGGGGGGGGTCCTCCCAGATTGGTTGACCAGAAAAAATGGATTTTTCGGACCGAAAGCAAGGCCTTGGACTCGTTCTGCATGTTTGGCCGCAGCTCGAAGGTGCGTGGGGCACCCAATGAGAGCGACAGAATCCGGGCGTCCTGTGCTTTGAACCCGGCCAAAGACACCCAAGCGAAACCGAAATGTGGGCTGTCTTAAAATAGGGGAACCCCCAAAATAGCTGGTTTCTTTCGGTGTTCCTGGGGTCCCCCCCAACAGTTACAGACCCAAATGAGGCTGGTTCAAACAAACATGGAGCGAAAACCAGACACTTTAATGAGGATGTTCCTGCTTCAAAGGAAACCCGCACACCCAAATAATGCCGAAACAACAGCGGTCAGATGCAACCTAATTGGGTTTGCCCCAGCAATAGGGCAACCCCCACCATAGCTTGGTTTCCTTTTAGCTTCCTTATAAAATCCCTCCCCAAAAAAAGGCCCCCAACAAGAAGATGCGGCTTGAACCAGCTGAAAGCCATTGGGGCCTGCTGGGTCCCTCTGACTTCGCTCCTGCGCCTTTCCGTTGAACAAACTCTCGTCGTCCGCATGCCAGGCCACCGAAGAGCCCCCGGTGTCGTAGAGGTTGAGGTTGCAGGAGTTCGGCCACTCGGCCGCCTGCGGCTCGAGACTTGGCTTCTCCGTTTCCACCCTCAAACCGGGTGGCCCCCCCCAAAATGGCGGGTTTCCTCGTGGTTTCCCTTTGAAGCCTAGCAAAAACCGGTACCCTCAAAAACAACACAAACCCATGGAAGTCATGTTGACCCCGGATCTGAATAGAACCCGTCCTATTTTTGCGGGTGTTCCCTCAAGTGATCCCCCCCCCCAAAAAAAAAAAAGGTTCACCTCAAGGAATGATGATTTATCTGGACATTGACTTTCCAACCCTTGGTATGGTAGCAAAGAACTTTGATTGCAGCTGCCTAAAAGAAATGAACAGATCCAAACAAACCAAACACCTAAAAACACGCCAACAACAGAAGTTAAGCGCCTTCCAGTTGTGTTGGGACACGTCCAAAACAGCTACGTGGTTCCTATTCATCGGCCCCCTTGATTTCTTGGGCTTCACCGAGGAGGCGACCTTCGTGTTAGAAATCGGTGGGTTTCCCTGGTAAACGGAATGCCAATTCAAACCGGCCACCAATCCAAACCCAAAACAAAACAAACATAGTCTATAACCAAACCGATCTGCTTTGGGGCCAATATGGCCAATCCAAACCAGCGGACCCCCTCGATTTCTACACCCAGCACACCAACCTGCGCAGCCGCCGCTCTCGAAGCCCCCCGCGACGCCTGCAGGCCGAAGAAGGGCATCACCAAGCCCATGACCTCGAGCATCCAGGCAGGGAACTCCTCAGCGATCGCCGGAGTCGCCATCGATCCGATCCGATGGGGACCGGAGTCGTGTCACCCGTGTCGCCCGCGTCGCCCCTTTTGCTTTTGCTCCTTTCACTGCTCTAAACTGGGCTGTCCGTTTTCTGATGCCCGGCTAGAAGCTCAACTTGTGGTGGGTTAAATGGAAACCAAACCCTGAAAACCTCAAAGCTTAAGGGGGACGGCGGGGGAACCATGAAGGAAATAAATCCGTGTCACAAGTACGTTCTTCTCATCGATATTCATGAACAAGGAATATCTAAACAAAATATACATCCGGACAGAATATAATAGCAACAAATAGGAATCCCAATTCAACCCAAAAAGAAAAAGGGAACGTCGAAAGGGCAAACATGCACCAAAGTGAAAGCTGACATTCGGAGAAATCCGCAAGAAAGGAGTGAAAACATCAAGGGACCTCCTGCGGTTGCAAAGAACATGTCACTCCACCCTCCTTCAAACTATGAACTTTTGGGGGTGCTCTTGATTAACTCCAATACCGTGAGGTACCTTCCCCACCCCGCCCCCCGCCCCCCAAACAATATCGCCCCATCCACCCCGATGTCGCTCGAAGCGCCTGCGGATCGACCTCGTGGCCCCCGTAGCGATAGGAGCAGCGGCACCCCGGCGCCACCATCCACGCGGTGCCCCGCGGCATGTCCCGCGGCCGCTGCCACGCCGTGCCCGCGTGGATGTCGCGGAAGAGGCCCGCGGCCTTGCGCGGCCGGCCATAGGTGGCTGGAATTTCTGCCTTGTTTCTCGGCTGTTTTCTTTTTTCCGGGGGATGATCCACCTGTTTGGGGGTTTTAACGAAAACCACCCTTTTGGGGGGTCACTACAAAATGACCCCCATCTTTTGTTAAGGCGGACAATATCCTGCAGGTTCTACATGGTTTCTGCCAGTGGTAGGGCTTCATCCATCCCAACTGGAGCAGGGGCTTTGTCCATCCACAGCCCTTCTGCAGGAAAACATCTCGGAGTGTGTGCTATTAGTCCTATTTGACAGGGAGGGGCGCCCAAAAACTGGTGGTTTTCCTTTTGGAAACAACCAGTATATACATATACATATATATATATATACGTATTTATTAATTAATTTACTTTATTTATTTATGTATTTTTATTTACCGATGTAGAGGTATATACGTACGTATGTATGTGTACAGCCGATGGCCTGCTCTGAGGAGAAGGGCCGAGGCAGGTGCCCCGCGAAGCACCGCCGCGCCTGCGTTTGGAGTTTCGGGAAGTTGGTGACATGGGACGTCTGACAGGAAGTTCTGAAATTTTATGTTGGAATCCGCGTTTGCGATGCTTCTACACCACGCCCCCACCCAGTATCCCGCTAGAGCAGCTCGCCAGTGGATGCCGCCAAGTCTCCCGCCAGAGCAGCTCGCCAGTGGATCCCGAGTTTCCCGCCAGAGCTGCCCGCCAGTGGATCCCGCCCAGTATCCTGCCAGTACCGCCAGAGCATCGCCAGAGCGGCTCGCAAGTGCATCCCGCCAAGTATCCCACCAGACCAGCCCGCCAGTGGATCCCGCCAAGTATCCCACCAGACCAGCCCGCCAGTGGATCCCGCCAAGCAGCCCGCCAGTGGATCCCGCCAAGTATCCCTTGCTTTGGGTTGTGAATAAGCAACTTCGTTTAATCCCCCGTCGGGTTGCTTTTTGGAAGGGGCTTGGCTTCTGTTAACGGAACCGATGTTTGAGTTCTCGAGATCGGCTCGCAGACACGTGGAGTTTGACACACAGACAGGTGGATAAGGCTCTCAATGCAAAGCTTGTTGAGCAGTCATAGGCCCCAAGCCACTCGAACACCATGCTTGAATTCACACAACCGGGTGGGGATTGCTCGAAGCGAAGTAATTTCTCGTTGTTTCTTTTTTTCGGAGCTTGCGACTGGGGAAATTCAGTGGCACATCTCTCTTGTGGGGCCTAGTGCGTGGCAAAGGGAGACCAAAAGGAAAACCGGCATCCATGTTGCGGTTCCTACCCTCTAGTTCAATGTTTCTTTTGCGGGCAATCTTATGGCATCCGAGTCCGAAGGTGTGTGACTTGTCCCACGTGAGGTCACCAAAGGTCCAGGAAAGGTTGTGAAGGGGCAAAGGGTTCTCAGCCTTTCCAGGGGAGAAAGGTCTTCAAAGGCCTTGATCTATATTGAAGGGGCGGTGTCCACCATGTTGAGTTGACTGGTTCATTTTGAGAATACATTCTTGGGGTCGACTGAGATTCAACAGGAGGTTAAACGTTTGCCAGCGGAATAAGTCGAGTAGTCCGGTTCACGCAAACAGAGCGAGGTCTCACGGGCGAGCTCCGCTTGGGTATATGGCCCAATGGTTGATCTAAAAATCGGTGAGAGGGTGCCTAGTGAAAAAAAAAATGAAACCCCAATGTTGTCGATTTTTGCAAATTGACTAGGTTCTCTCTTCACTGTTGCATGTTCCTTGGGTCCAAGGATCGAGGCATGAAAACCCAGGGTTGTGGGAACTACCTCGCCTCATCCTTCAGCACATAGTTCCTGGGCCCGACTGCAACCCGAACGAAAAGCTGGTCACTTGGGGGTTGATGAAAAGGTCCGATCATGGGATGACCATTGGCTTGAACACCAAAACGACGATACTTCCACATGGGACAGTTCTCCATTTTTTGTTTGGGGGCCAGGAATATTGATCAACCCGCAGTTGTTGATTGTTGCTGGCCCAGGAGAAAAAGCAAAAAGGTCAATCACACCTGGGTTTTTGTTCGGCAACCGAGGGACGCAGCACAAAATAGTGGCAAAACAAGTTGGAACAAGATGAGTTAAGTTTGGCAGTGGTTCCACTCAGAGTGGCAAATCTCCCCCAGCAGCCGCAGCCCGGTCTCGGACCTTGGCTGCTCCGAGAGAGCTGCAAAGGCGTCCACGGCTGCTTGGGGCAGATACGCCAAAGCGTAGGCGGGCAAAGGCGGCTCGCTCCCACCACCTCTGCCCCAGGGGCGACCGCCCGGCGACCTTGGGATAGAAAGGGCTGTCCACATCCCGTGCTAAACGTCTAACTTTTGATGATCTAGTGGAAACTAGCGCTAAACCCCCAAAGCAAACCGAAAAGCTGAAGGGATGGCTGGGAACCACCAAGAAAAAGATCACGTCTTAGATCACCATGAAACGGTTTTTGTCAGAGCCTTCCAAAAGACACACACACACACCGCCTGCGCGGGGACCGCCGGGGCGACCTGGAGCGCTTTCGCAAAGCCCGCGCTGGCACCCGCTTCCGAAGCCGCGAGGAAGGCGAGGAGGAGGAGGAGGAGGAGGAGGTGGAGCTTTTCCTCGAGATCTTCTTCTTCTTTCCCTTCTTTCCCCTTGAAGAACTGCTGTCCAGCTGCACCACCTTGGAACTCGACGAACTCGAGGAGCTTTTTCCGGACTTCCTCTTGACCATACCTCCTCGCTCATGGGATAATAGTTCCCATGGCGCAGGTGTACCAATCACTGCCACACGATGACATGTGACTCGACAGCAACATTGAAAAACACACAGACCTTTCGATCTTTATGGGTCCTTGTTGTGAATTACCAACCATTTTGGAGTCACCCTCATGATTTCTGTCGCCCCATTTCTGTCTTCGCGTGCATGTTTCGTGTGCACAATGAATACATAAAGGAACATGGTGTTCCTGACGTTCAGTCTGGTGTGTCTCGTTTTTGAGGGTTCGTTGTCGCTCTTGAAAAAGTAGAGCCAACAGGACTTGAACCTGCAACCTCCCAACACACTCTAGGAGGTTGGGCGCGCTGCCATTGCGCCATGGCTCCTTCCAATCCCCAGGAGCGAATCTGGGCAACTTGGACGCAAAAACCAGAGTTGACGGAGGTTGTGGCTGATTCACCACCAAAGCAGGGCCAAGTAAGGAACTCCAAAACATCCCCAAAGTGAGGTGAATGTTGTTACCAGCCATGATTCAGTCCTTTGTGTCTTTGTTGCCCTATTTTGTCACGTGTACCAGCCTTCCATTCGGACTGTGGCTCAACAACTTGGGGGTTACGCAGGTTTAGTTGGTTCCATTTGCCAAGGTGCCATTTTGGTACATGTTATTGACCCACAGCCACATGGTATTCCGCCGACGCTGCTCACCATTCGCGCCTCCGCGCCCGAAACCGGCGGCGCCAACTTGGCCTCCAGCGAGCCTTCGCAGAGCTTCGTGCGAAGCGCGCCCAATGCTTCGGGAGTCGGTTTAGCGGATGGTTCGAATAATCTGCAATCTTAACTACAATTCTAATAGCTGAATTAAGGGATCCCAAGTAAAGGACCTTTATCATTGTGAGCTCGTTGGCTGTGAGGCACTATTGAACCAGCTTACGTCATTCGGGCAACCAGGAGTACAATTACTTAGCGCTTTCTATGGCTGCCCTGCAAAATTGGCATGGAAGGCAAACATCGAAAAAGGAGAACGCGCTGGAAACGATCAATTTGAAACAAAGCACCTAGATAGATGCACCAGCAATAAACCACCCCTAGAAGAACCAGGCCACTTTGCATGGAAAGTAGGCGTCCCATCTGTCCAGTCAATTTTCGAGGAGCGAATGACAACCATTGCTCCATATGTAGCATACTTGTTCCCCGTCAGGTGCACGCAAATGCAGCTATTTTCTCACAAGTCCAGGAATTTCTGTGTCTCCCAAAATCAAGCTTCATGCAGTCGCAATGCTTGGAGGTCGCCGTTTGCCCACATGAGTCCGAGTACCACCTCACAGGTCCTAAAAAGGTCAAAGGACCCTTTTGTTGGGTTTCCACTCAGGCTGGGTGCGCTACAGCAGTGCTCGGACGAAATCGGCGCCATGTGCAATCAGACTTTGTGCTGACAAGCCGGCGAAGGGGCAAACAGGGAGTTCCCAAGCACGGCACGTGTCTGGTGGTTGTCAAGGATTCCCCAAGGGAGCCTCGAATTGGGGTCCAACTCCGGATATGAGAGGAGGACAACTACCTGCCGCTAACGACTGAAAAAATCGGACGTTTAGAAAGTCCGTACATTGTCATTTGAGAGGTCCCAGAGAAAGGGAAATGCACCGCCCTCAACATCTCCAGCGGGTATCTATCGCAAACCCTCCGGCCTCCCCGTAGCACAGCCTCTGCAAAGGTCACGGAGCGCACACCGGTTGAAGTGCGCCTGCGAGTGAAAGCTGGGGACCGGGCCAACAGGATCAGTTCAAGACACCAGTTGGGTGTCTTCTGGGTTGCTTAGCGAAACCAAAAGGAAAACCACCAGGTGGGGGGGAACAACACAGACACTCATTGAGACAAAAACGCACCTACTTGCGGGAAACGGAGTGAAGCTTTGCTCATGGCACTGCGTTGATCAACTTACCCGACAGACCCCCGGATGTGCGGGACGGGGCGGCAGACGCCAGAAGCATTCAAATGATGGCCGATACAGTGCCTGAAGCATTCGGGCATTCGACCTCTTTGTGCTGTGGGCGGATCAAGTGATCCACTCGCCTGCAAATAGTGTCTCAAAATAGGAGGAACCCCCCAAACGACCTCGGTATTCCTTCTGGTGTCCCTTTTAAATCCAACCAAAAACAGAGGGTTCCCTTTAAAACCAACCAAAAAGAGAAGGATCCCCTAAAAAAAGACGTCTCCCCCCCCCCCAAACGTCGCCCACACCTTTGCCGAGTCACGCCCGGCCTTTTCGAAGCGTCCAGCGGTCGAGCCTGGCTTCCGCGGCGCGCAAGCCAGGCAAGCCAGAGCCAGAGACATGGGCGCGGGTCGGAAAAAAACAAATCTGGCGGGGTGCGGCATCCATGCCGCGCCGCGACATGAAAACAGCTTGGAGTTATGGTGTACGGGGAAGCATCAGAAACCAGGTTTCTCAGGTGCGAATTGGATTTCGCCCATCCTGAATAGGTACACGAAATGGCTTGCCCCGGTCAATGGAAAGGACCAAAACCCGCGGTCTGGCTTAGTTTTGAGACCAAATGGAACCTAAGTCTTGAAAAGGGTTGGGGGCCTCCATCTTGCGCCCTTGGGCTGGATGAAACTCCTCAAGGGAGCGCTGTGAGGGGGTCATGCGGAGGAAGAGTGGAGGGTGGTCATGTGTACACTTGTCCGTTTGAGTTTGCTTCCTTCATACGCCGCGTCAACTCCAAGCAAAAAGCAAACAACATCCGCTAGCTTTAACTTGCGACTTGGGAAACTTGCACAAAAGGTGAGTAGGGAGTGGTTCTGAACCCACCCCCAAGCAGGTCTCCCATTTGGAAGAAACTTCTATGTAAGTGACTGACGCTTTGAGCTGCAACTTGAACCCCCCCCCAACAGACAGGTCTCAGCGCTTGGCCACTTGTTGCGGATGTTGTGCAGGCCATAGATGACCTGGCCGGCTCAGTTCAATGAAACAGTCGTACTTCTCCCAGCACGGTCATTGGCTTTAAGCATGACATACTGGACGAAATCCATTTCGCACCTAAGAAACCCTGGAGTGATGATTCCCCATCGAAAATATCAACCAACAATAGTTTTCCATGAAAAGGTACGTCTTATTCTGACAAGGCCTGCATTCCTGACCTGGCCTCCAAATATCCTGTTTTGCCTCCGCGAAGGGACGTGGATTGGATCAACAAAATGGCCAGGGTCGCCACCACAAATCCGAAAACCTGATTTGAACTGGAATTGGAACTAGTGATTTCCCTCCGTGAGACTTCTGCAGGTTGACATGGACACCGAAAAACATCGCGTATACACGTATATGTATATATGTATATATGTATATATGCGGGAATTCTTCCAGGCCCCTTGCCCCCCTTTTGAATTCCATTTGGATTTGTGTGGGAGAAGCTATCAGCTGGCCGAGGCAAACTTTGACATGGATGGCATGGTCGGCACTTGCAGCTACCCCCCAGCTGCACACACACGTTAGATGCAGCACCCCGTGTGCCAAACCGTCTCATGGCATGGCCCAATGTCTAAGTGGAAAATGGCAATAAATAAGAGAAACAAAAAAGTTCTCGCTATCTGCCTCGAAAAGCAAGGGGCTCAAAACTAGGTACCCCGAAAACAGGAAACAACTTGGCTGCACACCCTTTCAAGTGTCACACGCGAACTGAAACACTTAAACCGAATACCATTTGACCGCGTGACCACAAGGCTGTCAGCCCAGGTCGACAGAACCGGACGATTCAGTTGTTCGGCTTCTCGGCCATGCCTTGCCCACGGTCAAATGCGGGTACCCCCGAAGCAGCTCCGTCACCAGCATGGGGATGTTCCCCCCTTCCTGCGCGTCGACATGCGAAGCCCTTCAACACGTGGCAGCGTCGACACTAAGGGCGACCCAAATGGTGGGAAAGGGGGGCCAGCTCTTCAGTCGTTTTTTGGTTGACGAGTTGACAACTTTCAGTGGCCTTCCTCGCGGCTAACAGTCGACATATGGGTGTGGGTCAAATTACACCAGGGGACCGCAGATTTTGGTCAATGTTTCCACTTACCAGGGTTCCACTTTGGGTACCAAATTTGTGACCCACAGCCATATTAGCCGCTAGTCCTAGCGGTGCCGTCTGTTCTGAGAAATGCTGGAGCTGTAAGGGCTGGAACATGCGGGTTCGGGCCTCCATCACCCACAGCTCTCCCGTGTAGTCGCCCATCCTGACACCGAAGCTGAGAGTTCGATGCCCAGTCTAATGGGTTTCAATTTAGCGGTCCGCGGCCTAAACTTCCATTTGGTTAAGACCCCTAGAAAAAAACAAAAATATGTCCATTAGTGATAGATTCCCTTTAAAACCAACAGGGGAAAAAACAAATAAGCAAATGGAAGTAAATCTGCTCGCCTTTCGCTGAAGGGTGCGTTCAAGCTTTGGAAAACAGCGGCGAGAGGCCTGAACGGAACCAACCTCCTGCAATCAGTTGGCTTACAAGGACGTCTGAAATAGCCCGTGTCACCAACCGCGTGGGCCTGCTCTGGGCCGGCAAACTTGTCCGGCTGTCAGATTGCTCACTTCATGAGGTATGAGGTAATTGAGTAGGACAAGTCCAAACTGTTTGTTTGCATATAAAGTGATCCTCCCCAAAAGTACCAAACCAGGCAGCTCGAGATAAGGTGACCAAATGACATTTTGCACGCCAGGCCTTTTTGCCTTTCCCCATCTGCAGCCCAGTCGCCCGATGATCTGGGACGGGCCGTGGTTGTTGTTGCTGTTGTAGTTGCTGTTGCACTGCATCTGAGCGTGCAAATGCACAGGCGGGCCAAGACGCAAGGCGTACAACAAAGTCCAAATGGTGGGAATTGCCTCGCTTTGGCCTATGCTCAACATCATAAAAGCGGGCCGGCCATAGGCAAGTACTCAGCAGTTTCAGATGCTAAGCAGGGGGCTTGAAAAAAATCATAAATCCATACCCTGTTGGCTTCATTTGCCCCCCTCCCCAACCCCACCCCACCCGGCGAGGCGATTCAGACTCTGAGAGTCCCACGGAGGTGTAGCGGAAGGATGTGTCGCCCGTGCCCATCGTCTCGACCCGAGTGAGGAGCCGCGTGACTCACCTGAGCAAAGGGCTTGGTGAGGGCTGTCAGGGGACAGTTGCGATCGACCTGGCCAGTAAACAGAAGGAACCCTTTCTGGGCTTCACGGCGGCAATCAAACAAAGAGGGAAGTTCATGGTAGGGGGTCACTCGGGTACAAGGCCTATGGCCTAACATGCTAGCATCAACTACCTCCTCATGGCGGTCACTTGGGTACAAATTCCTGCCTCCGAACTTTGCCACAAAAGCTTGCATCAACTACCTCTTCATGGCAGGCGGTCACTCGTGTACAAATTCCTTAATGACTAAGGAACCCCCTTTTCATGTATTGAACTCTTCAACCGGGCGCAATTTTCCTGGCCCCATGCGGAGACCCACCCGACTGCTCCAAGCGGCCTCGTTGCGCTGCTTCGGGTCGCCCAAGAACTCCAGATCCACATCCTCGTAGCTGGGCAGGACCTGGTGCCTCGTTCCGGAAACTCGAAGGATCCGGAACAACGGGGTGCTGTTTTCTCCTTTCCGAGAGGCTCCTGGGGCTTTCAATAGAAGACCCAGACCCTCCAATGGACACCCCGGAGGTGTATGGGGGTCTCAAAACCTGTTGATGTTTGAAGGACCCAAACAATCGGGAGCCTCCGGGTTGAAGGAAGCCCAAACAAAAACAATTGAACCACAACCAGAAACGAGGGAAAAACACAAAAGATTTAACCCCGGTGGCATCCTCTTGGAGAAAAAAACCCAAGAAAGGAGGAAGGATGTCACTGGCCCTGGCATTTTGTCAGGGTGTTGTTTCTCGCAACGGCTCGGCAGCACCCGCTGAACCAGAATTCATGGACTGGCCCACAAACCCCTGAGACACCCACCGCTCCCCCGTCCTTGTTGTCTTAGCATCGCGGGGGCGTTTTTTTGGAACCAACGCTGGGGGGAGTCCCTGGATTCTGTGAAGGTGGCGCCTTGCCGGCGAAAAACCCGGTCCCCATCAAGCCAGTTTTCGATCTCTGGCGCTTTATTCGCCTGATCCAATTCGCCCCCCAATCCTGATCAAGGCGTGTGCCTTATTTCGCCCCAATGCTGCCTTGAGGCTTGTTCAGCTTTCTGCTTCCGGCTGAATTCAGCTTCTGTGCCCCCTCCCAGTGTCTGGAGTATCAACGTTCGAGCTCTCCTGGTCGTTCAAGTCGCCTTCGCGGTCGCAAACATCTTCTCAAGTCCGAAGAAATATAATGTGAGACCTCCTTTAGTCATAGTACCCTCTACTGTAGAACCTTTTTTTCTAATTCAGGATCCTGTGTGTTCTCCAGGAATCCAGCCACCAACGCGTCGTTTTCCCCGGGTTTCCGACTTCCCCGCCGTCAGCCAAGCGGCTTCGCCGGCTTCGGCGGCCGCGCCTCGCGCGCCAGCAGCAGAGCCGCGAGGCCCCGCGAGGCTCCGGCCTGCGAAGGAGATCGGGCGGATGTTTTTTTGTTTTTCTTTTTTTTTCTCGGGGGGGCGGGTGCCGGCGGGTGCTTGCGCTCGACGGCAGCTTTTTTGGGGGGATGGTTTTAAAGTGAAACCAAAAGGAAGCGATTTTTGGAACCCAAAATATGCGACCATGTGTCAAATCTGGGACCCTTGTTGGATCTAGTTCCGTTTGGACGGGTCATCAAAACTTGTCGGACGCCCTGGGACCTAAACAGGAAACCAGGTTTTCAGGCTCTTTGAACATCTCGTCAAAAACCTAGTCCATCAAACATCTGTGAATGTTGGTAATTCATCGACCTGAAGCAAGAGAGGTAGGGCGAGGCGCTTGGTAAGGTCGCCCAAAACTGCCAGGTTGCAACACGGTACGTCACTTTATAGAGCCTAGTCATCCCTAGTCATAATTACCCTCGCACAAACACTGATAGCACCTAAAAGGCGCCCCTTAAGGAAAAGAGTGATCTTGGTTCCTTCCAAGTTTCTGGGCGGAAGTGCACCCAACCCCCACCTCTCTCCCTAAAAAGCCCGGGCCCCGCACATGGCCCAGCGGCGTCAGCGGCACCGCTCGCAGCCCAGGCGCGCAAGGCAAGTCGTACCTCAGATCTGCGACAGGGGCCACTTCTGCCGGACCTTACTGTGGATGGACGACATCCTGCACCACTTGGATTCCATGGTTGAAACCATTGTTTGTTGGTATTTACAGGAGTGTCGAACTAGGTGGTGCAGGATTTCGTCCATCCACAGTAGGCGGGTGGGGGTGAGGTTTCGCAGCCCTCAAAGATCCCGAGGCCTGACTGAAAGCTTCGCAGCCACGCGGCTCTGCCGCCAACTCCTCTGGCAGAACGCCCTCCTCACCCAGCCTGGCGGCCGCTTGCAGGCAGGGCGAATTGCGGTGACATGCACTGAGTTCAAGCCATGGTGTCACCATGACCTTTGTGCGCCATGGTCAAAACTCCCAAGTGCCAGGTCGTCATGGTTCTCTCAAAAGGAACCTTGCTGTGGCATGTCCATTAAGTATTTTGCGCATCAACAGGATCTGCCAACCGGGCTACAGTTCCGCAGGATGTGCCAGTTGCGCACGCGTCGGGGCCAAGTCTTCGGGCTTTGGGGGGTCCTTCTTCGCTGGCAATCTCTTCGTGATGGCACCAGTTGGGATGAATGAAACCCTATGAAACCGCCCATCCAGTGCATTGTGCATCCACAGTATCGCTCTCTCGCTCTGAATATCTTTGTGCAATCTCTCGGAGTATAGTCCCAAATGGCGATCTCTTGGCGTAAATTCTCAACCGACCTCTTGACATCTTCTGTACCCATCGACCCTCAAACTAATTGGGGTAACTTATTCATTCCCCCGCTTTTAGTCGGGGTTCATCACTTTTGGAGGGCAACACCCCCAAAACAAACAAACAAAGGGCTTGTTCATCCGGGTCAAAAAGAAACGCCCCAAAATTCCTCAAAATTCCTTCCGCGGCTTCCCCCCTGTTTCGGGCCTTACGTAACCACGGCACCACGGCACCACGGCCCAGCTCCGCCCGGGGCGCGGACCCCCGGCCTGGCGGCCAAGTCCTCAGCACGGCGCCGGTTCAGCAGCCGCAAACTCTGCACCTCCAGGTCCTGCGGCCAGAGCTCGCTCTCAGGCGACTCAAATGGCTGTGGTTGTCAAAAATAGGTACAAGTGGAACCCTGGTAAGTGGAAATAGGGACCAAAACCTGCGGTCCACTGGTGGTTTAATTTTGACCCATACCCAAATGGGCGTGGCAAACCGACCCGACCTTTTCTCCCAACTGGCTCGCTCGTCCTTTTTGGAGTCGGTACCCTTTTTGGGCATCTCTCAGGCGACGCAAAATGTGGCAAAACCGACCCACCGACCGATTTGGGCGACCCGAAAGTTTTCGGGTAACCCTTTCGGATGCGACGCATGAGCTTCTTTTGGTGCGAGCCATCGGAACCCCTGGATTTTGCTACGTAGAAAATTTAGAAACCCCTGGTCTGAGGTGTTGAAGGCGCCCAAAATGAGGGGGCTTCTGAATCGAAATTCCAGGCGCATTGGGGCGTGATGTCCAAAACACATGAGTGGATGTCCCTTGAAACTTAGAGTAGTTTAGTTGTGACATCCCTTTTGAATGCGAGCAGCATAGTTTGCCTCCCAAATGAACAAGTGTCCTATTCTCTTAAAGCCACCCCTAAAGTCAGTACCAGCTCAAAAAAGCTCCCAAACGCAGATTATATAAAGGAGCTGACCTAGATACGCGTGCGCCTTATTGGGGAACCTCTGGTTGTCCTCATAACAACCTCGGGGTTTCCAGGGTTCCCTACACTTGCGTAACATCACCAACAAGCCAAAGGAAACCGTTAAAAGAGGCTTCTCCTTTTGCTGGGATTTTGGAGGCGACCTCTCTATTCTTCAGTCAATGGCGGTCTCGATGCTGCACACCGCGCAACGACAAGACTCCAGCACACCAGTTCCGCTCTGTCATTGTCCATCGGATGAACAGCCTTCTCTTCTGCGCCAACTTCCGTCCCTACTTTCGATCCTGGGGCCTCTGACCGGCTCCTTTCACGGTCCGGGTCCTCATATCTGTCCCCCGAACCAAAAACCAAAGGGGAAGTCCATCAACAGTCCAAAGGATGCTTGAACAACCCAAAACGGGCCAGTTCCTTCTATAAAGACCCTCCTGGTAGAAAAAGAATTGGGAACACATGTTGGGGCTCGATCCCTGTCGTGGGAAACCCTTTCAAACAGCAAGAGATTCAAACAGGAAGGAAATCCCCATCAGAATTCGTTGTCCACCACATGGTCTCAAACAGATCTAAACTGACACCATCAACCCCTCTAATTAAAATTCGTAGCCAACTTGGCTTTGTCTCAAAGGGGACCCGAAAACTGGTGGTGTTCCGTTGGCCCAAAAGAACCACCCCAAAGCTGGGTGGCTTCCCTCCAAAAAGGACGCAGTTGGAGAGTGTCAGACCCAACCAGATTGATTCCAAATTGACACCCAACTAAATCAATCCCCTATCAAAGGGTCTCTAATACCCATCGACGCATCGCTTGCGCCTTTGGCGCACGGCGGGCCACCAGATGCGCCAGGCGTGTGATGGTCTGCCGGGGGTTTACGTCGCAGACCGGGTGGAGGTGCAGCCTCCGGGGAGCCCCAAATGGCTGTGGTTCAAACACTCTACCAAAATGGCTCCTTTGTAAATGGAACCACAGACTCAACCTGTGTAACCCTAAATTTCCAGCCAAATCGCTTCGGCCGAGCTCCTCGGGCGAGTGCTAGTTGGACTTTCTTTCTGTAGAGTGGCTTACGTTGCTCTGATCGAGCCGGGTTCGATTCGCCTCTAGTTGGATTGGCTTGAGGATTTGGTTGCCGTGGATCCTCTTGAGATCAAATGGCAAATTACTCCTAAGGATACACGAAACTCGAGTGAAGTCAGCGGGTCGGCAAAGCATGTTCGAAACGGCCTGGGCCAAAAGCGACGCTTCTGGATCTGAAAAGCTTGGAGAAAAAGCGTAAAAGTCAGGCCGCTCAAACGAAAGTCGCTTGATATCTGCGATGACATCTTCAACGCGATGGTCTCTCAAATGATGCCTATGAAAGGGGTAGCTGTGGCTGAGTATTCCCACAAAGAAACCGATAGGGCACCACCAAAACCACGCACCCCTCCCAACGCAAGCAAGCTCTCAAATGGTTTACACTACCCCCCAACCCACCTGCCCCAGGCTTTTATGTGATATGAGCCGCTCTAAATAGACACTGGGATTGGAGAAAGTCCAAACATCTTACTGCTAGAATGGTCTTCCCAAGTTTAAAGTCCAGGGACTCAGGAGATGGGCCATATTCCCCCGTTCCCCGGTCGCAACCCGAGACAAAACCTCCGGCCCCGCCTGCCCTCTGCCCGGAAGAGGAACCCGTCCACCCCGGCGGGGCCCACGTAGCCCGCGGCCGCCAAAGCTCTCCCCACGGTCGAGGCCACGCTCCAAGTCACGAGGTCACCCTGAGGGTCGCTCTGAGCAACAAATCAGCTTGCACATTGGGTGTGTCTTGCGTTTATTCCCCCAGTCAGAAAAATGCAATGGAAAAAACATAAACGTATGGGTGCCGCAAGAACCCATTTTCTGGGACATCTCAAATTGTGGTGCTGACTGATACTCACTTCAAGATGATGTCCACTACCCCCAAGCATTGGTGCCCTGGACAAATAGATGGCACTGGCGAATTCGGACCAAATTGAAACCAGGGCCAGCAGTTGTTAACCCAACTGACCTGAAAGGACACGAATGCCCCCAAACTATGCCGAGGGGCTTGAGATGTATATACAGCCATAGGATTTTCTCGAAGGAATACAGACAGTTTTCCCTCGGGGTAGTGATTTGGGGGTAGTGGAAGTCATCTTGCAGTTCAATCAGAGCAGCCGGTGTATTTTAACAGCCATGAGGTCGCACCCCTGTGATTTTGTCTTGCTAGACACCTGAAAATAATGTTCACCGTTTGGAACCTTGACTAAAGATGGTTCAAATCCAGAAAACTGAAACAAAACAAACATCGGTCAGGTTTGAACAACTGGCTCAGCGAATATCGGTGGAGAAGACATGTTTACCCAGAAATTCTCCCTTGAAAGAATGAACCAGGGTATCTGCGCCTAGCTTGTGGCAATCGACAAATGAAACCCTGCCCACGGGTATTGCCCGACAAGCCAACTTCGTCTTTCGGAGCCCCGGAAATGTATCTAAGAAATTGCATTTGTTTAAAAGATAAGGATTGCTGGTTTCCCTTTGATTTCTCTCAACAAACGGCACCCTCAAAAGGTTCATGCCTTGCCAAGGGGCCACCGGCACGGCTTCCTCCCCCAACAATGAGGCCTCGGAGAGCTGAGGGGGAGATCCTTGTGGTCAATGAGATTAACAGACCCATCCGTATTGACATGGGTATGGGTCAACATTGAACCACCAGGGCACCACAAGTTTTAGTCATTGTTTCCATTTACCATGGTGCCATTTTTGGGTACCTATTTTTGACCCACAGCCATATTGTGGGGGTCCCTCCAAAAGTGATGGGTCCTCACCATGTATCCCACAAGCAACCCCTATGAACAATGGAGCTGTCCCCTAGTGAGCTGCATGTTGGCGAGGAACCCAATTCCCAATGAGTTGGTGACTGTACAGCATCATTGAATTACCACCGTAGATGATGAGTATAGACGGCTGCTTATTTAAACAAGCGAGCAATGCCACTCGCGCAAGGCAAGGGCTGCTTCCAACAATTTGCTATGAACCGGTCATCAAGCACGAGGCCCTATCCACGGCACGGTAATTACCTTGCCGAGCCTCCTTTGAAGGAAGCCCATTGTTGGAAAAAATGAAAGCTGGAGGATCAAGTTCCTTGTCCACCACCAGCTTCTGTGTTAGGCAGTGTCCAACATGCACTGTGCCTAATCTTCACCAAGACTTTTCTTGGTCCTGAACAATCAGGCCACGTTTGTCTTGACCATGGACCATGCTAGCCTGGGCCAGGTTGCTGCCTAGGAAATCAATCGTCAGCTCAAACGAATGCCTGCAGAAATGGGAGCAACGGGCCCTTTGACAGGTCTTTCGCTTGCGGAAAGCCCCAGCCAAGTCCTGCCTTTGCTTAATGGTCGTTGCGCGGTTGCCAGGCAAGCGGTAAAAGAACTTTCGATGTTGGCGTCCAAGCAAGACCCGCAAGCATGACAGACATTTGCACAGCTGCTTCCTGACCAACTGCGGCGCCCATAGCCTCAAATCAAGAACCCCCGAAAAAAAGGCGGCTTCCTGGTGGTCGTTTGCAAGGATGAGCGCAAACCAACCACCCGGCTCCCCCCGAACAAACAAAACCAAACCAACCACCCCCTCCTCCCTCCCACCCCACCCCCGCGCCCAACCCCACCCAACGCCAACCGCTGGGCGCCGCAGCCCAGGCATCTTCCCACGAGCCCAGCTCCGCCCCCAGGAAGTTGCCCCGGCCGTCCGTGCGGAAGACGTGCCTCGGGGCGTCCGAACCCGGACGAGCGAGACACGCGAGAGAGCCATCGAAAACCCGCGACATGCACGTGAATCATCGTGAAAACTGGTTCAACACATGCAGTGGCCTTTGATGACTTTGATTTTGGCTTCTGCAGCCACGCAGAGAGTTGAAAGCTGCGACGAGTTCGTCTCTTGCGCAAGGAAGCGCGAGAGAGGACAGCAGGAGCCAAAAGGTAGTGTCATGCTTGTTGGGAACCCCTGGCTGGCTGCGTTATGCTAGGAAGTTGCATTTGTTTAGCCCCCTGGTATCAAAAGAGACAGGAGGTCCCATCGCCAAAGTGGTGCGACTGGTGTGCTAATCCAGGATACATGGAAGGAAGCTGCTGATGTGAAGCTGCTTCATTTTGCGGGAGCTCCCCCATCTCTGGACACAGACCCCTCTGTTTCGCCCGAGCGCCTGCTGAAGACGGACACATCTTTGGCCTCCGACACATCCAGCTGCAGGGAGAAGTCCAGCACACGGTCATATTCCTTCCAGTCCAAGGCATGGCTCAAAATTCTTAAATTGGGAAACCCAGGTCCAGCTATCTGGTAAGCCACTTACTATGGTTGCAAGATCCCCTACCACTTATCTGATCGCTCCAACCATAGTTACCTACCCTCAATTAGTCTTAGGCCCTTTGACTCTGTCATGGTTTCTGACTTTGAAGAGGGGTTCCCTTGGTATCACGGAAAGAGGTCCCAAAAAACTGATAAGTTTCAGCCATGGCCCTGCCCCGTTCAGTACTTGGGTGTTCGGCCATGTTAGTAAGTTGTTGGTAACCCAAGGTATCATTGATGAGTGATCCCAAGTGGAGTCAGCCCTGTGATTAGAGGGTAACCCAAGTGGCCAACCAGATACTAACTCGGCCGACCCCAAACACGTCGCTAGGGTTGGGATGTGTTTTTGTTCGCCACCGAGAGCTACGGGGGCAATCCGCCAATTAATGTTAACTTCGGATTAACCTGGAGCATAAGAATCAGGGGTGGCTTCCCTTTTAGTCAGGAGATGAGCTTCCCTTCTAGTTATTAGCTGGGGTTCGTCTGAGCATCCTCCAGATTTTAGGGATCCGCCACAACTGATAAGTCACCCCAAGCGGCAAACTTCTTACTCCAAACATCCAAGCAGCTCCCCCCCCCCCGGCTTCAGCCACGGCGCCGGCTCCACGAGCACCGGGCCCTCCCCCAGGCGCTTCCGCACCCAGCGCCCGAAATGCGTGGCGGTGTGCGCCTGGCGGAAAATTCCCAGCGCGCGTGGCCGGTTTGGTCGACGTCCCAGGTCTGCTTTGCTGGTCGTGTATGTTTGTTGGTTCCTGGTGTTGCTGTTTTTGGTCTCTGCTTTTGTTTCCTGGTTTTGTGATTTCCTGTTGCTGGTGTTGTGTTCCTCTTTTGTGGCGGGGTGGGCTGAAAAGACTGTTGGTTGTTTTATGCTGCTTCTTTTGAAGGGGGGCGTGTGCCAAATCAGGCAAGGAAAAGTAGAAGCTTTTCAAACAACACCTCCATGCAAGACACACTCTGGTGACCTGAAGAAACAGAAACTCAGAAATGTCGCAGCTCAAATTCACGGCGTCGCAGACTGGCGCTGCATCCGGGGCCGGCCTCCCCATCTCGGGCCCGGCGGTTGCTTTGCCCCGCCCAGCCGTGCTCCGCTTTCACAAAGGCAGCAGGCCAGCCACCTGCATCGACACTAGAGCCCCGGCCCGCCGAGTACAGGCGGGTCGGAGATAGTTCAAGCGACAAGCCGAAAGAAGCCTTCATCTTGGGCAGAGTCGCAAACCCCCTAGTGACGTACTGTTACAATTTGCCCAGCCATCACGCACTTTATCGCAAACGTGCAACCTCTCCTTCTGCAAATAACTGCGACGCCCTTTGTTGGACCAAAACCACCACACTGCAAAAAGGACCACTACAAAAGAAAAAAACATGACTGCCGACTCGTCTCCCAAAATGTTAACGCCCCCCGTTGAAATGAACAGTTGTGCTTGCCAGCTAGCTGTTGCACACCCATGCTTGTCGCTGATGTTTAGAGATAGGACGACGGCACAACCCGAAGACTAGATGTAAGTGTATACAGGTATACTATAGTGCGTTGAACAAGAACCGGAAATGAAACTGGCAATCGCGCCTCATTAAATCTTGGCCTGGTTGACATGTTTATCTCACAAGCAAGGATTCCTGGAAAGAATAAAAAAAAACAGCTGAGGGTGCTCGCATCTGGAAGAAGCAAAGAACTGCCTCGTCTCTGGGCAGACTTCGACCCCCTGCAAAAAGTTAACTCATCGCTTCAATACAAACGAATACCAATGAAGGACATCCCAAAACGGCCAAAAGGGCAAAAGGGCAAATGGTCAAATCAGTTGAGTCGGGCAAAGAGTACATGTTGTATAAAGAACGGCCAAAGGTCAAAAAGGCTTGGCAGAAGTCTCCAGCCCTCGCCTTGGTTGAAGCCGGCGATGGCATCAAAAACCTCCTCCTCTGTGGTGCACACGACCTCCGCGGTGTCCGAGAAAAACAAAAAAGAAGGCGCGACTTCCCGGCTTTTTGTCGCCTCCGAACGAGTGGACTGGACAGGGTCAGGTCTATTCTTTGCAACCATCAAAATGGTGCAACCCCCAAAAGTGACTCTCAAGTCCAAGGAGTGGGGATTGAGTTGTTTTTTCGTTTAGAGTGTCGATCTCCCAACTGGAGATTTTGATCTCGGCTTTGCCTCCTTTGCTGCTGAAAGAAGGGCTCCATTGAGGGACCCCTTGTCAGGGGGTCTTGGGCCGGCAGAGAAGGAGGAGGAAAGGAACCGGTTGGCTGATAAAAATCACACCAACCTGACCTCAAGCTGAGTTGCGTGTTTGGTATCCCTGAAAGGCTCATTTGACCACAACAGCTTCTTCCAGGTTGCTTGGGCAGCTTCATCATTGAGAGCATGTGATTTTCCCTCGGCCAACCTGAAGCCATGGATTTTCCAGGCCCGCCCCCCTAGTCCACCCTTCTCGCGCGGGAACAATCGACCACTACGAAAAGAAAGTCGGTCCCGTGTTCCCTATCCAAAAGAAGACTCCCCAAAAAGCGCGTACATACAGGAAACTTGCTGGTTGGATGGGGAAATGAGAATTGGAATGACCCCGAGACAAACCCACCCTATGCTTTCCATTAATCGGGGACTCCCCTAAAGCTGTTCATTCCCAACACCCGGACTCTCGCATCGAAAAGTCGGCCAGTCGGCCAGCGAAGGCCGAGCCCCGCGCCGCGTCTTCGCTGAGCGGCCGCAACATGCGGGTCGCGGCGAGCTCCTGCCCAAAGTCCTGGAGGAGTTCAGCGGTGGAGTGGCGCGCTCCCGTCGGTCCATCCCTTTGACCCCCTGGCACAAGGGCCCAAGTGGGTAAATGGCACCCAACCACCATCGGAGTCACACTCAAAGCCCGGTATGAAAATGGGCTGACCCAGAACCATGTAAGGAAATACCAAAGGCGGGCGCAGCTGTTTCGGGACTGGCCCTTACTAACCTGCATGTACCCGGGGTTTGATTGTGGCTCAAATGGAGTTTCTGGGCGCTCCGTTTTCAGATCTGCCACAAGCGCTTTATAGCGGATCCAACGGTGAAAGGGAAACCTAAGCTAACTAAAAACCGCTCAAAACCCAAGAAGATGGACGGAAAAACCACCAAGTTCGGACAAGCGAAGCCGTTGGCCCCAAATTGCCCCAGAGACCAGGGGCCTTCCGCCAGGCGCGGCAGCGCTCGGCCGCCCAGCGCTTGCCGTGCAGCGGCAGCCAGGCCGCGCCCCGCGCGGAGTGCACAGGCCCCAGCCTCGGAGTGAACCAGGGCTCCACTTTTTCACCCCAAGATAGACTTAAACCCAGTGGTTGATTTCCCCCAAGGGACACCCCTGGGTGCACGTCTATCTTGGGGTAGTGAAAAAGTGGAACCTTGGATTGAACCGAAGCTGAGAGCGACTGAGTGAGTCGGAGTGAGAGAGTGGGAGAGGAAGCCGCAGCCTTTGTGTGGACAGTGAGCCGGGTACCCTGTTAAAGTGATAAGAGTGTGTTCAGTAAGAAGTGAGTGTGAGAGAGGGAGAGAGCTAGGGAGAGAGAGAGAGTGAGACCGCAAACCCCGGACCGATTCTTCTCAACACAGTGGCTTTGGGAAAAAGCAAAAGGATGAAGCCGTCCTGAGCACATGATTCAACTCGTGACTTTAATCTCTGGTTCCTGGAAAAAGGCCCCAAACAGCGCGCCACTGAATTCGGCATAAGTTTGATGTTGAGTGCTTGGGCAAAATGGATGGGTAAAGGACAAGAACCAAACTGGAGGCATTGCCACAGAGTGTTTCGCTGCCCAACCACCCCACCCACCGCCGCTCTCCGCCCACATTTGCATCAGCAGGACTACGTTGCAGAGGCTTCCCAAAGGCTATCACAAAGATCAGCTTTCCTCCAATTGAGTGGCTTGGATTTGTAGCTTGGAGGTCTGGAGGGGTTTCCCATTTACCCTCCACAAAACCCAGGGGTTCAAATCCCCAAACCACCAATCCAAGCCGACAACCAAGGTTCATGAACCTGAGTATGCTTGTAGGAAGTAACACTTGCGCAACAAGCACATGATTCTCCGAGATAAGTTGCAATGGTACCCCACCCCTATTTGTTTCTTTGGGCCATTATGAGAATAGATGGGTCTGGTATATGGAATATCATTTCATCTAAACCAGTGGAAACCATCTAGTTCCAACCAAACTAACCGATCCAAAGCACGCCTATGGCCCTTACACATTCCATTTGGATGTGTCTCTGTTTAAGGATACCCTTGTTTAGGGTGGATTTAAAGGAACACAAAAAAAACAACAACCTGTTTTGACACAGCCCCAATTTTGGTGCTTAGTATCTAGAGAACAGTTTGGATGTGGCGAATCTGTGGATCCACCCCTGTGGGATATTAAAAGAGTACTAAAAGAATACTACCAAAAGAACCAACCGGAAAAAAAGAGAGAAAAAAAACGGTGAATACCACCATGAAAGTTGTCCAGAGGTTCACGAACCCAAAACAGGTGGGATTTACAAAGCGCAGAAGAAAAAGAACCGGAAAAAAATCCTTTCGAGCTTTGCCCTCTCAGGCTCCTTAAAAGGTTTCTTACAGAGGCCCCTTATAAGGCTCCTTGTAAAGCTCCTTATCAAAGTGTCTGAAACAGGTGTTTAACTACAAAACCCCCAGAAAAGTGAAAGTTTTCTCAAAAAGTGATCCGGGATTTGCACATCCCACCCCCCGCTTTCTCCTTTTCCACTTGAGGAGCTCAGCTGCAGGCCAGCACCCGTAGGGCGCCCAAGCGCCGCCCCGCGCCAGCGCGGTGGCAAGGTCCACGACCTGGCGCAAAAGGGTTGGACCCCCCAAAAATGGGCTCCTTTCGAAAAAGGCAAAAAGTCAGCAATCACCTTTTGGAGTTCCTTTAAAACCCCCAATCCACTCCAAACCAAGACACCCCCCAGTGATTTGTTTCTTGATCCCTTGCTAGCAGTGAAACGTGCTTGTCCTCTCAGAAGCAGACGCCATGGGGGCTGCTCTTTGCAGATAATGAAAAAGACGAAATCATCAATAGCCTTTTGGAGTCCTTAAAAAAAGAAAGACACTCCACAGCGGTTCCTTGATTCATTGGGATATCCCTTGCTAGAAGTGAAACCTTTCTGCGACATAGCATAAGGGTACGCACTGGGAACCGCCAAGAGATGGTGCGGGACTCAAGTGGTTGGTTTTCCCAAAACCCCCTCAGCTAGCCCTGCAAAAAGACCCGAAGTAACTGGCTTAACCACGTCGACTCGGCCAAAGTTTGGGTCAATGGACCCCGTTTAGGGCTGGAAGCCTCTCAAGGACCAAGGCTTCTCCCACCTAAGCCCTGGCAAAGCAAGTGGGAGCCCCTGCTTTCAAGTCTGCATTTCCGCCCTTTCGTCGACCTTGTTTGTTTTGTTTTGGGCACCAAAAAATGATGTCGGATTCGCCAGTCATGGCCAGCCTTTGAAATGGAGGCCCAGATTTGTTTTGCCAACGCACAAGTCACTTTGCGTGAAAACCACGACGAGAATCAACAAACCACAAATGAGTGTGTTTTTGAGGGCACCCCTTTCAACTTGGCTTAAAGGAAAACCAAACGCAAAACCACCTTTTTGGAGAGATCAGCACAAAAGCAAACAAACAAACAAACAAACAAACAAACAAACAAACAAACAAACAAACAAACAGGCAAAACAAACAAACCGCAGGCCCATGGCTCTTTAGCTCCAGCTCGGCATCAAGCTCAAGTCCCTCGTCTCCCGCCTCCGGCAGTCCCTCCGGCGCAAAGCCCCGCGCCAGCAGCGCGGCTTTCCGAGCCTCCGCCGCCTCGCGGAGGCCTCGGGAAGCTGGGCCCTGCTGGCGGATGCTCAGCCCACTGAAGGTCCCCGGAGTACTTGCTGGTGCGATAAGTAGGGAATGAGGGAATGAACCCAGGCTTTGGTCCCCTTAAAGGAAACCACCAGTTGGATGGTTTAGAAGGGTCATTCCATCTCATTCCCCACTGAGCACCAGCAAGATGAACAAACCTCCGGCAATTCCTAAGTGGTGTCAACATCCGTGGCCGCCTCTGTTTGCTTAAGCCAGCCAGACCCCAATTCAGCTAACCTTCAGAGCAAGCCCAGCCCCTATGAGAGGAATCATGGTCGGATTCTGCTCGAAAGATCCGCGGGATGCTCCTTCGACACACATGGCAGTGGGTCAAAATCCCGTACCCCTGGTGAACATCCCAATCCCCACTAAAATCGGTTCTAAAATGGGTGGTGCACCTACCCCAAAATGGCACCGTTGGTTTTGAGCCACAGCCACATTGCCTCCATCGTTTCCACAGGGCTCCACCACCACCATGTCCTCCTTGCCACCCTGCAGACCCACAAGGAAGCCTCGGCTGGGGCCGAGGCTTAGGGTGGCTCACGTCGGTCTGTGTCAAGATGGGGTCGGTTTGTAGTTGAAGTGAACCAAAAGGACATTTTGGAGGGGTGTGCCTCCAACAAGACACCTCCAAATGGTGTGGTTCTTCATCCATGCAGCATGTTGCGCACAAACAACGCCGTGATGGCCGAAGTCAACGTGGTTACCTGGTACAGTTGCAGCAATTCAGGTTGGTTTAAGTGAGTGTTTCTCTAAATACAATCGGAACCCCCAAAATGGGCTTCAGTTTTCCTTTGGCTTCCCTTTTTGAGCAACCCAAACAAGGGTTCCCTTCACACTGACCCCGGTTGAAAGTCCACCACAAAAACAAGCATCCATTTGGGTGTCTTTTTTAGTGGACTCCCCCGAACTCCCCCGAAAACAAACGTGGTGTTCCTTTTTTCCTTCAAAACCACCCAAAAAAGAGGGCTTTCCCTGCAAAATCAGCAGAGCCACCCACCTGACACAATCAGCATCGGCACGCCGACAAGCCATGAGCCGCGCGGCCCAAATCCGCCATGGCGGGGCTCTGTGGCCTTAGGCCCTTGGGCGACGCGAAGGCGAAGATCCGGGCCTCACGACTGCGACTTGAGATCCGGCTGACGAAATCGGGGTCGCCCGTGGAAGGTCCGGGGTCTTTCGGTCTTTTTCTTGAGCGCGGGCATTGCCAATTCGGGCAGCCTCAACAGAGCCAAACAAAAAAACACAATTGAAAAGTAGGTGGTGTCGTTTTGGAGGCTCTTTGCGGGTTGTGGTTGAAGGCAATCCACAGGTAAGCCACCCTTTCGCTGGCCCGAATCCCCATTTCTTGACGCTGTGTTAACAAATTGGGGCCATGTTTTGGGGTCCCTCCACGGCGCTCGCCAAAATAGGGGGCCATCTTGACTTCGTGAATCAAGCAGCAAAAGTGTACCCTTCCTTCCACTATCATGGCATAGTGGGACGGATTGCATGCTTTCCCACAGCACGGAACCTGCAAATCATCTCCCAGTAACCTTGCAAAGGAGGCTCAACCAGGGGGTACAAGCTCAATATGCACTAATGCCAGCTTGTTTGCCTTGATCAGCACCTGAGCACCTGGTCCTTGATTTGCTTTCACAGCTTATGCTCCTGAAGACCAGCTCGAGCAAATGCCGCCGCAAAAAAAGCTGGAAGTCCATGTGAGCCGCGGTCACAATGTGCGTTGATGAGGCCAAGAGGTCTGCCAGAAGGCTGTGCAAGGGTTGGCTTACGTACTGCTGCACTCTTGCCCGATGCGGAGAATAGTCGGGTTTGGTGTCGACCATTGGTTGCGGGAAAATGAGCGAGTCAGTGTCCCAAACCCCAAAATTGACCAAATTGACACGTACGTACTCACCAGAAACGAGTTTGTCTCATTTGACAAAACCTCAAACTGGGGCCCAGTGGCCACAGGAATTCAACAGGGCATCCTTTTTGGTTGGCTGAGCTTAAAAACGGGGAACCCTTCCCAAAAAAGGAAAATAGGGAGCCACTGGGGGACTGCAGTTTCCCTTCGGCGTCCCTCTTGAAACATTCACAACAGGGATCCTTACATTATGCACCTGAACATTGCCTTGTAAATTGTGGTTTCCCTTTATTTTGGTGTTGAAAAAGCAACATGTATCAAATGGTTGCAAAATGTGGCTGTGGTTCAAAACCAATGGATGTTCACTGGGGGTACGGGGTTTTGACCCATGGCCATGTATCTGTTAAGGAGCCCTGCACCACAAAGGCACCTCCCCCCCCCTCCCGCGATCCCGCCTCCGCAGATCTTGCGGTGCGCAGGCGCCGGCCAGAGATCTGCCAGCCGGCGCTGGCGACGGCCAGCCTCAGAAAGTTCCACCTGCTGAAGCATCCCGGTTTGGGGAGCCCGAATGGCAAAAAGGCTGGTTTAAAAAAATGAGGTGAATATGTTTCAACACCTATGCGATTTTATTTTGAACGTCCTCATTGGGCTTTGCTTTTTCTGCATACCAAGTACCCTTTGTATAGGCATTGTGTATGTAAACGACAAAAAAGGGCACACGGTTGCACCCGAGTAGAATTGGCACGGACTGAGAATTGCAAGCAACGTCCAGCACCCAATCGATTCGAAACGCTCGGGCTGAGTTCCGCACGCAACGGCTCCTAGCGCGTGCGAACCAAAAAACATGAACTATCCAGGCCATGACACGGGTCAGGATATCATTCTGGGTGACTATCAACCTTCCGATTCATTCCCAAACCCTAGGTCACTCCCTACTTTGCACCAGCAAGCAATTCACAAACCTACAATGAGGAATAGACTTCTGCCTGAGAGCATGGTTGACAAGGGGCTGAAGGATCAACATGCATGACTGGCTGCACGATGCAAAATTAACACATGTCTAGTGCAGGGGAATATCAGTAAGACTTTGCAAATGGACGTTCGCAGTGGACTCTTTGGTGGACATCACAAACGCTTTCGCGGGCGTTCCAACCATTCATAGCCTTGCCATTTGAGCAGCGCCCACCAATAATTATCGTCACAAAGACAATTATGGCTGGTCTTTCTTGAGTTGGTAGCCCCTACCAGTTCGGGGGCTGCCAACCAAATAAAAAGACACCCCCAAAAAGGGCCTTCCTGCTTCAAATCAATTCAATAATACCCGTTCCACTACTACTGACAACCAAGATTCAACCTTAGAACTCAAAACTAAGATGGCCAAAGCGGGGGTTGGGTGCTCCTGAGAGCGCCGGTTTTAGCGCTGCTGTCGCCCGCACAGGTCCAAAGGATGACCGGGGCGCCCACGGCGTCGCCAGCCTTCAAAAAATGCCAATGCGCCAGTCGTGCTCTGTTGAAAAAATGGGAAGCCAAAGGAACACTAGCATAGGGGAAGATGATGGGCTTCATTGTGCTGGAAACATTTGGAAAGAGAACAAACGGCTCCATTCCGGGAGTTCACAAATGTCAACACAAACCCTTCAGGTGCAGCTTGCAAGCCGGGCGTTGTGAGCTTCACTTGCGAAAGCACAGCGCACCAGCGACCGGCTTCCAAGCCCATGCTGGCATGTGCAGTTGCTGGGCCCGGGTGGAAATAGGTGAAAAAGCAAGCAGAGACCAGACCTCCCCCTCTCAGTCGAACGAGTGGCCCGGGTTTCTGTTCCATCCTTTGCCAACCAAACTCGCCAAAGGCGAAACCAAAGGCTCCAAACAGGCGCTCTCTGTCTCCTCAAAAGGACCAACAATAGACTCTCCCAAATCACAATGGGGTCGCCAGAACAACAAAATGATTGGCCCCTTGGTCGTAAACGACACCGTAAAAACACCAATCAAAAGGACGCAGAAACAACTCCATGAACAGAAGTGCCTGGACAAGTTTCTGGGAGATCCAAAAGGCGTCTCACTTCAATGGGCTCCAAAATCGGAGGCACATTGTTCTGTGACTGGAACCCATTTTTGTCAGAACACATCTGGGATGAAATCATGGCACGCAGCAAGAAACCACGCAAAACCTGGTGAACACATAGCCACATTGCCGTGCCAATGCTGGAACAATACGATCACATCTTTCTTGGGTCATCCGAGACATCAAATGATAGGCAGTCCCTGCTTTTGCCCTCCCGCCTCAGTGGCGCGCTGGAGGCCATATTCGAATGAAGCCGCATGGCAGAGGGCTCGCTCGGAAGTCGCGTCTCCCGGGCTCGGCTGAGCTCTCCCACCAGCGATCGGAGTATGTCGAGGTGTTTGTTTGTGAGGTTTGAGGTTGCTTTGGAGGTGTTGGGTTGTTAGGTTGCAGGTTGAGTTTATTTTTGGGTGTTGTTTCAACAAAATGGTAGTTGGCGCAAACAGATGCAGCAGTGTCGCAAACAGATGCAACGGTGTCCTTTTGGTGTCCCTTGAGATATCAACCAAATATGGTCCACCATTTTGAGCAACTCCCTTTTAGAGGTTGCTTTGAGGGTTGATATCGCGACTTGACTTGGACAGAGGTGCTGAAAAAGCGTGTCGCGGGTGTGCGAAGCTTGTGCTGTATAGATGGGCGGATTTTGGGCAAGCATAGCCCGACCTGGCAAGGAGTATGTTCCTTGTCAAACCCTCTGTCCAAGCTGAAAGAAGTCCTCACAGGGATCAGCCATGTATGAGTTGCTTTCAATTGGTTGGACCCTTTGGACATCGGAAACACATGTGCGCAACCAACTACGTAGCGCGTTTTCTCCAGTCGTAGCCATGGGCTCAAGGCCGGCGCGGACCTCGAACCCAAAGTCAGCAGGAGCTTCTTCACAGCTCGAGAAGGCAGCCACGGCTTCTGTTGCAGGCCAAAATGGTGAGCGGAAGAGTGGGGCAACAGGGATCCTTACATTTTACACCTGAACGTTGCCTTGTAAATGGTGGTTTCTCCTTATTCTGGTGTTGAAAAAGCAACATGTTTCAAATGGGCAAAATGTATCTCAAGGAGCCCTGGGCAACCCGGCATGAAACCGGAGCGTTTGGCGGGCAAGGGCGCGTGTGGGTGTTGCAGCGGCCGGTTTTTCCTCTCGCGCGCAGAACTTCTCACGGGCACGTAGCGGTAGAGCGGCATGGCGGCCGGCCGGCGCGGCAAACTTGGCTTTCTGGCCTTCTGGAACACAACGGTCAATGGGGCTAGACCCTAACACTGTATTCGCCTCGGCCCCAAAGGGGCCAAGGGCGCTCAGATCTCTTCTCCAAAGAGAATCTTCGCTTTTCCCTCCCCCCAACCCCCAACCGCAATTTGCCCGGCCCGCCCCCCCCCCCCCCCCCCCCACCCATGTCATATATTAAAAAAAAAAAAAAAGCTTTTTTGTCCTGAAAAGCATGACCTCCTGGCCTGTCTGACGTGTCTGAGACTAGGCTCAGGCCCAGCCCAACCAGCAACCCGCCTGCTGGCCAGGCCTGTCAGCCCAGCCCACCCAGCCTCAGGCCCAAGCTTGTCTGAAACAGGCCTAGCCCAAGCACGGCCCCAAGTCATCCAGCAAGCCCAGCCCAGCCTGCCCAGCCCAGGCCCCGCGCATCTCAGGGCAAGCCACTAGGCCGGCCCCCAGCTCCCAGCCCACCACCACCCTCAGCCCAGTGCCAAGGTCAGGTTTGTCTGACGTGTCTGACGGCTGCCCAAGCAACTCAGCCCAGGCTGGCCAGGCCTTGACCTCCTTGAGACTAGCCTCAGGCCCAGTCCCTCAGCCCGCCTGCCTCGTGTCTTACGTGTCTGCGACTGGCCTCAGCCAGCCAGCAACTTGCCACCCAGCCTCAGGCCCAAGTGTGTATGAAACAGGCCTTGCCCATCCAGCAACCCGCCCAAGCACAGCTCGGCGCAACCAGCAGCGTAGTCCGGCTGCCCGGCAGCCAGCAACCCATCCATGGCTTCAGGCCCAGCCCAAAGCCTGCCCAGCCCAGGCCCGGCAACTGGTCTCAAGCTATGCCAGCTACTAAGCACGGCTGACCAGGCCCCTTCGGCGCAGTCTGAGACTGGTCTCAAGGTATGCCAGCCTGAGACTAGCCTCAGGCCCAGTCCCTCAGCCCGCCTGCTGGCGTGTCTTACGTGTCTCAGGCACAGCCCAGCCAGCAACTCGCTACCCAGCCTCAGCCCATCCAGCGACCCGCCCAATGTGCTCAGCCCAGCCCGCCCAGCCGAAGTTCCAGGCGCAACCAACAGCGTAGTCCGGCTGCCCAGCAGCCAGCAACCCACCCATGGCTTCGCAGCCTTGTGGCTGAGACTAGCTTCAGGCCCAGCCCAACCAGCAACCCGCCTAAGCCAACCCCACCCAAGCCCACCCTGTTTGAGACTCGCAGGCCTCAGCCTATCTAGCGCCAAGACTGGGCCTCACCTAGCGTCTAGCCCAGCCCAGTCCGCCTGCTGGCCAGGCCTGTCTGACGTGTCTGAAACTGGCCTCAGGCCCAGCCCAGCCATAGCCCAGCCCCCTCAGTCGGGCTGCCCACCCCGCCGTAAACTAGCTTCAGGCCCAGCTCAACACGCAAGCAAGGTCCAGCCAAGCTCAGCGCGCAGGCTTATCTGATGTGTCTGAGACTAGCCTGTGGCCCAGCCCAACCAGGCGAGGCCGGCTTGTCTGACTTGTCTGGAGCCAGCTTCAGGTATTCGGACCTTCCCAACACTGGATTTCGGTGTTCCTGACCCTTCCCTCAAACTAGGCTGGGCCGAGGCGGGCAACGCGAAGCGTTTACAATTAAAATGCTGCTCAATGTGGGTATGAATTGAAGTCACCCTCGTTTCTCATGAAGATGTTCATTTCCGGTAGTCGGAGTGTTCCAATCAGAAAAAATCAGGGGCCACGCATTCTCCCAGAACCACGGCGCGCCCGCCACCAGCCGCGTCTGGGCGCTGCTCAAGGAGTTCACTTCGGGGCGATGCGCAGCAGCCTCATCACCGAGCGGGCGGCCTTGTCCAGGGGGTTTGGCCTCGCGCCCCACCCACCCCACCCACCCACCCACCCGGAAGGAAGACCCGGACGAGAAGAAGGAAAACGACAACTGACAACATATGTGACAAGCAAGGCCAGGGTAACGCTTGTGGACGCTGCGTGGACAAAAATATGCGTACATAGTACAAAGAACTGATTTCGCAACACTGTATCTGGCACCTAAGCTTCGGCCAAGACCTGCGATCCTCCAAATGGCTATGTGTCAGAGGGGTCCCAACAAATAGCGGTTATATGGTTTATCTGAAAACCAAGGTGAAAGAAAGGGTACCCTCCAACAAACACACCCCCAGGAACAAAGCCTTTTGGGAGTGCGATGGGCTCGTACTGGATAAGCCCCAGGCGAGTGGGAGGTCCTCTTGTGGTGGCAATAATCCAAGAAGATCTCCTTCCACTCGTGCGAGTTCGTGATCTTGCCAATGTAGACACCTCGGGACTATGCAAATTCTGGGTAGCAAGCTGACTTGTTCGCTGATTGGCTTCAAGCATGCTCTCGGTACACCAAAATGTAGGCAACCATCCTCATCTTGCAATCCTGCTTCCAGCAATCATTCACCACCTAGGTGAGTGTATTTCTCCGTTCCGTCCACTGCCAAGTTGAGAAAATCCGGATTCACCCGCGGCACGACAAAAAACGGTTGGAAATTCATTTCATGTAATTTCTATGCTAGCAAAGTGGTTTGTGGCTTAACCCATCTACCCTGAACAAAGACGATCATCCAGCCGACAGCGCGTATGATGGGGTCCAACTCTGCTTCTTCGCACCATTCAAGAACTCAGAACAACCAAGCAGACTTCATATTCAGACACAAAACCCCGGACCGAGCCCAAAACCCCGAGCAAACACTCGAACCACGCCGACAGGCAACAAAGCACACCAACTCCGCCTGGCCCAAATCCAGCAATCCGCCGCTCCCGAAGCCTTCGTTAACCCTTCGTTTCGAGGCGCCAAAGAAGAGGGAGGAGGCGCCCACCAGCGTGAAGGAGGGCCACAGCCAGGTGTTCACATAAGGCACCTCAGGGCAAGGCGGTGGCCCCAGCAGGTCAAAGTCCGTCTGTTCCGCCCATGGGCGTGGGTCAAAAAAATGGTATCCAAAATGTGACCCTGGTAGAGGTAAACATGGACTAAAGCCTCGGTCCGCTGGTGGTTTAACTTTGACCAGCAGTCACTTGCAGGGAACTTGTGGATTTATGTTTTCCTTGATGGCGGCTCAGTCAGCAAGGAAATCTGAACGGGGCCTTCGGGCCAGGGCCCCCACCCCCGTTTTACACCGATACAGAACCATGCCTGGGTATGAGTCAACGTCGGGCCACTTCAACCGAGGCGAAGAAGGTACCCTGAAAAATTTACTCTTGAGATGTGTTCCTCTTGAATCCGAAGACTGGAATGTGGGTCCAGCGCAAGGACTTCGTGCTCTGAAGCCGCCGAGCCAATCGAATGCGCCAGAGACCTCTCTTGCCTAATCGGGCCCACGCAACGCAAGTTGCAGTTGCCGCGTGTCCAAAAGTGAGGGGCTCTTTTGTGGATGGCGCTCAGGTTGAAAAGGGAAACCTACCACTAAAACATTCTGTTCCCCAATTCTGGACACGGCTTTAACCCGTGGAAAGTGGGACAAAGGAGTCGGCTTCTGAGTGTCACAACTTGGCCCGCTTTTGCCTGGTGTCTAATTTGTAGTCTCGGGCATGCAGATGAGTGCTCGTGCCAGTGCAATGTGCTGGAATAAAGTGGTGGCTAATCTGCAAAAGGCGCGCAGCCCCGACCTGCAGGGGTTCTCCCTGTGAGGTACCGACGCTCGCGCCGGCTCTTTCCCTCATGTTGTGCTTGTCGCGCTGAGGGGTGGTGCTCGGACATTACATTACATCACAGTACATTACATACATTACATTACATTACATTACGTTACGTTACGTTACATTACATTACATCAAGCCAAACTTATGGATTGCATCCCGGTCAACGCCAACTGCAAAATTTTGAGTTGCCCTTGGGTTGCCTTTAAACCACCGCCCACCGCTCATTGCTGAGTACCTTCTGGTCAGCATAGGGAGCAACAACAAGAGTTATACACACAATATACACAACTCTGCCCATGAAGCCTGCTCGCTGTCCCTTGCTTGGCAAGATCGCCTGTCCTTGACCCCAACCACAACTGGAATCCAACGCGTGTAAGCCCCTGCCATGAGTCGGATTTGCCATGCTCACCCCAAACAGTCCAAAAATTACACCAGCAGAGACCCCAAACAGTTGAGGGCTGACGGGCGAGCACAAACATGCCAACAGCTTGTGGCTTTCTGCGCTTCAACACGGATGAATCAAAATGATGCAGTCGTGAACCTGGCGCGCGTTGCGTTGCTGCACGTGTGTTGCTGGCGTGCTTCGCGCTTCAGCACCGCGCCAGAACTGAGGTTGGGCAAGCGCGCGCGATGGCGGGCGAGCGCGCGCGCGTGAACGCAAGTGTGGCCGCGCAAGCACGCAGTCACATGGGCAGTTCAAACACACATGTCCAATTCAGACACACATGTGTGTACACGTGGAACACACATACGTATACGACTGAAACAGTATACATTCACCTGCGGCACACGCATAAATGTGTTGAGCTGGAAAACAAACATGTGCTTCTTGGAAAGCACACACACACATGTGCAAACGTGGAACGCACATATGTGTTCACTTACGACACGCTAATGCGTTCACGTGGAACACACATGTGTGTTCACTTGGAACACAATGAAACGCGTGTCCAATTCAGACACACATGTGTGTACACGTGGAACACACATGCGTTCACCTGGAACACAAAGACGCGCAATTAAAGCACACATGTGTGTACGCGTGGGACACACATATGTATACCACTGGAACACAAACATGTGTCCACCTGGAACACCGCGTGTGCGATTAAAGCACACATGTGTGTACATGTGGAACACACATATGCGCACACGTGAGCAAACATAAATGCTCACCTAAATCGCACACACATGCGCGCACCTCGAAAACAATCATGCGTTTTCTGGAGCGCATACATGTGCACACCTGGAGAGCAAATATGTCGTCAGATGCCAAAAAAAGTTCACCTAGCACATACTAATGTGTTCACGTGAAACACACATCTGTTCACCTGGAACACAAACACGTGTCCAATTGGAACACACATGTGCGTACACGTGGAACACACATATGTGCACACGTGAACACGCATATGTGCACACGTGAACACTCACATATATGTGCACCCGGAACACACACCCGTGTGCTCATCTGATAACAACCATGTGTTCTCCTGGAACACAAACACGTGTCCAATTGGAACACGCATGTGTGTACACGTGAACACACATATGTGTACACGTGGGAGACGCAAATGCGCACACGTGAACACACACACATGTGCACACGTGGAACACACACATGTGTACTGCACATGTGAACACACACATTTATGCGCGCGCGGAAAACACAGACACACACGAGTGTTCATCTGATAACAAACACGTGGTCTCCTGGAACACAACCGTGTGTCTAATTGGAACACAACCGTGTGTACACGTGAACACACATATGTGTACACGTGAACACACACATATTTATATATATATATATGCGCACCCGGACACACACACACACACGTGCGTTCATCTGAAAACAAACATGTATTCACCTGAAACACAAACACGTGTCCAATTGGAACAAACATGTGTGGACACATGAACTCACAAATGTGTACATGTGGAACACACATATGTGTGCAAATGAACACACATACATGCGCACGCGGAGCAGACACACACACACACACACGCGTTCATCTGATAACAAACATGTGTCCTCCTGGAACACAAACACGTGTCCAGTTGGAACGCACATGTGTGCACGCGCGAACACACAATGTGTGCCGTGAACACACATACAAAAAAGTGCACGCGGAGCAGACACACACACACGTGTTCATCTGATAACAAACATGTGTTCTCCTGGAACACAACCGTGTGTCTAATTGGAACACAGACGTGTGTACACGTGAACACACATATGTGTACACGTGAACACACACATATATACGCGCACCCGGACACACACACACACGAGTGTTCATCTGAAAACAAACATGTGTTCACCTGGAACACAAACACGTGTCCATTGGAACACACATGTGTGTACACGTGAACACACATATGTGTACACGTGGGAGACGCAAATGCGCACACGTGAACACACACATGTGCACACGTGCAACACACACATGTGTACTGCACATGTGAACACACACATTTATGCGCGCGCGGAAAACACAGACACACACGAGTGTTCATCTGATAACAAACACGTGTTCTCCTGGAACACAACCGTGTGTCTAATTGGAACACAGACGTGTGTACACGTGAACACACATATGTGTACACGTGAACACAGCACACGTGGAACACACACATGTGTACTGCACATGTGAACACACACATTTATGCGCGCGCGGAAAACACAGACACACACGAGTGTTCATCTGATAACAAACACGTGTTCTCCTGGAACACAACCGTGTGTCTAATTGGAACACAGACGTGTGTACACGTGAACACACATATGTGTACACGTGAACACACACACATATATATGCGCACCCGGAACACACACACACACGTGCGTTCATCTGAAAACAAACATGTATTCACCTGAAACACAAACACGTGTCCAATTGGAACACACATGTGTGGACACGTGAACACACAAATGTGTGCACGTGGAACACACATATGTGTGCAAATGAACACACACACATGCGCATGCGGAGCAGACACACACACACACACGTGTTCATCTGATAACAAACATGTGTCCTCCTGGAACACAAACACGTGTCCAGTTGGAACGCACATGTGCGCACGCGTGAACACACAATGTGTGCACGTGAACACACATACAAAAAAAGTGCACGCGGAGCAGACACACACGCACGTGTTCATCTGATAACAAACATGTGTTCTCCTGGAACACATACACGTGTCTGATAAGAACACACATGTGTGTACACGTGAACACACATATGTGTACACGTGCAACACGCATATGTGCGCACGTGAACGCACATATGTGTACATGTGGAACACACATATGTGCACACGCGAACACACACACACACATATATATATATATATGTATATATGCGCGCCCGGAACACGCACACACACACACATGCGTACACCTGGAACACATATGTGTGTATGTCTGGAAAGCACATTTCTGTTCACCTGCAACACACATATGTGTTCACCTGGAACCCATATATGCGCTCACTTGGAACAGGCATTTGTGTTCACGTGCGACACTGGTGCAGACCTGGATCACACAAGCATGTTTAACCAGAACAAACTTCTGTGTTGACTTGTAACACACATATGTGTACACATGGAACACACGTGTGTGCACATGTGGAGAAACATGTGCAACACAAATGTGCAACACACATGCGTTCACCTGGACAACAAAAATGTGTTCACATGGAATTTACATTTCCTGCACGCCTGGGCGACACATAAATCAAGTTCCCGAAGCCGGCTGTGAGGCGCTATTCCATGGGGCTCTGCCTTGAACAACGCTTGTGTTTTATATGCGTGTTCCAAGTAGGAAAATAGTGTTCGTGTACGATCAATCTAGCTTTTTTGCAACACATTGCTAGCGCGCGAGCCTGCTGCTGCTGCTGCTGCTACTACTGCTAGTACTATCAGTATCGGATGCGTCTCCAGCAGTTACAGGCTTCAGCTTAGCAAAAGCTTTCCGGCGCATTGCGCTTCTTTCTCGCTTAGCTGCACAGTGTCTTTCGTATCGATTGCTAAAGTGCTTTGATCGTATTGTGGCAACTCTTCGTATCGATTCAGTAAAGCATTTGCTTTCGCAGGGAAATACGCAACCCAATTCTTCCGTATGCTCGGTACAAGGCATCCCTGCCGTCTTGCCTCAGCCGTTGTTTCTCCCCTTTGTCCAGCAAATCGCACTCCATGATAATTGCATGCGAGGAGAGCGGAAGCAAATTTGGATTGAAGCGTAACTGGGAACCGGTCACAGCTGACCACTGCGCTAGCGCCTTGCTAGCGCGCGGCTAGCGCGGGTTCGCCGTATTTTTTGGAGTCACGGCGACCATCTGTGTGGATTTGACAAATTAAGGCCACGTAAGATGAAGGTAAACGTGCGGGCTGGCTTCAAGTACTAAGTAAGAACTGCAACATTACACCCTTGAAAGCCACGCAAAGCCCATCGCGGCAACCCGCGCGCCAACTCTTGGAAACCAAGATCACCCAAGCGCCATCCTAGCGCCTCCGTGACTGCGACGGTGGCCTCTGTAGACTAAACCCCCTTACTAGGAATTTTGACCGGATCGCATATGTGTTTTATCAGAACAATCGCATGCTTTCACCTGGAACACAAACATGTGCTGACGTGGAACACACTCATGTGGTCACATGCAAGTGCGTGTTCACTTGGAACGCGCCGATGTGGTCAGCTGGAACACACCAAGAACACACAATCATTTACTTGAAGCACTCGTACGTGCATCCGCAGCATGCTGCCTGTGGCTTGATCAAGCGCACGCGCGCGCTCAAACACACGTTTCTGAGCCTCAAACACACATGCGTGCCCGCGGAATACACCGCGAATGACCAGGGAGCCGTGCCAGGCATCCAGGCTGGGGGACAACAAGAAGGAGACAAAGGGAGACAAATGAACCCGTCCGCCCGGAGAGCCGTGCCAGACATCCAAGCTGGGAGACAAACGAATCCGTCCACCCAGAGAGCCGTGACAGGCATCCAGGCTGGGAGACAACCGGGGCCAAATAAAGGGAGACAAAGGGAGACAAATGAATCTGTCAGGCAAATGAAGGGAGAGGAACCCGTCCGCCGGGAGAGCCGGGACAACCCCAGGTGCCAAGAGCACCACTGGGTATCTCGGCGTAGGTTCGTTGAACATCATCAAAGAATCGATAGACGATTTAACTCCAGCGTGATTCACGTTTGTTTCACCGGGGGGTTAACAGAGCCTTCTCGTAGCTGAAGCCGTGCACCGCAGCGCACCGCTCTCGTCAGCTCGGGACTCCAAATGCGAGCAAGGACAGAGAGAGGCCGCAACTGATAACGAGGCACTGAACGAACAGACAGGGTGTAGCCAACGATAGACAAGGAAGACGACCCACCACGAGCCCAAGCAAAATCGAAGTCCAGATGAAGGGCAGACAGAGAGGACCCTGTCCCCAACATCCACAAGACAAGGAATGACCGAAGCCAGGGCCGAAGCCGAAGGCAAACCAGACCCCGCCAAAAGGACAGAACCGCGGGAAGTGAAGGAAACCGCGGAGCGTGAGTGCCACACATCCAGGCTGGGAGACAACGGGAGACAAATGAATCCGTCCACCCAGAGAGCCGTGCCAGGCATCCAGGCTGGGAGACAACGGGAGACAAATAAAGGGAGACAAAGGGAAACAAATGAATCCGTCCACCCACAGAGATGGGAGACAAATGAAGGGGAACCAAGGGAGACAAGTGAATCCGTCCGCCTGGAGAGCCGTGACAGACATCCAGGCTGGGAGACAACGGGAGCCAAATGAAGGGAGACAAAGGGAGACAAGTGAAACTGTCCACCCAAAGAGCGTGCCAGGCATCCAGGCTGGGAGACAACGGGAGACAAATGAAGGGAGACAAAGGGAGACAAGTGAATCTGTCCGCCTGGAGAGCCGTGCCAGACATCCAGGCTGGGAGACAACGGGAGACAAATGAAGGGAAACAAAGCCCAGAGAGCCGTGCCAGACAAATGAAGGGAGACAAAGGGAGACAAATGAACCCGTCCACCCAGAGAGCCGTGCCAGGCATCCAGGCTGGGAGGCAACGGGAGACAAATGAAGGGAGACAAAGGGTGACAAATGAACCCGTCCACCCAGAGAGCCGTGCCAGGCATCCAGGCTGGGAGACAACGGGAGACAAATGAAGGGAGACAAAGGGAGACAAATGAACCCCTCCACCCCAGAGAGCCGTGACAGGCGTCCAGGCTGGGAGACAACCGGGGCCAAATAAAGGGAGACAAAGGGAGACAAATGAATCCGTCAGGCAAATGGAGGGAGAGGGAGACAAATGAACCCGTCCGCCGGGAGAGCCGGGACAACCCCAGGTGCCAAGAGCACCACTGGGTATCTCAGCGTAAGGTTCGTTGAACATCCTCGAAGAATCGATAGAGGATTTAACTCCAGCGTGATTCACGTTTGTTTCACCGGGGGGTTAACAGAGCCTTCTCGTAGCTGAAGCCGCGCACCGCAGCGCACCGCTATCGTCAGCTCGGGACCGCAACTGATAACGAGGCACTGAACGAACAGACAGGGTGTAGCCAACGATAGACAAGGAAGACGACCCACCACGAGCCCAAGCGAAATCGAAGTCCAGATGAAGGGCAGACAGAGGAGGACCCTGTCCCCAACATCCACAAGACAAGGAATGACCGAAGCCAGGGCCAAAGCCGAAGGCAAACCAGACCCCGCCAAAAGGACAGAACCGCGGGAAGTGAAGGAAACCGCGGAGCGTGAGTGCCACACATCCAGGCTGGGAGACAACGGGAGACAAATGAATCCGTCCACCCAGAGAGCCGTGCCAGGCATCCAGGCTGGGAGACAACGGGAGACAAATAAAGGGAGACAAAGGGAAACAAATGAATCCGTCCACCCACAGAGATGGGAGACAAATGAAGGGGAACCAAGGGAGACAAGTGAATCCGTCCGCCTGGAGAGCCGTGACAGACATCCAGGCTGGGAGACAACAGGAGCCAAATGAAGGGAGACAAAGGGAGAAAAGTGAATCTGTCCACCAAAAAAACAGTGCCAGGCATCCAGGCTGGGAGACAACGGGAGACAAATGAAGGGAAACAAAGGGGTGCCAGACACATCCAGGCTGGGAGACAACGGGAGACAAATGAAGGGAGATAAAGGGAGACAAATGAACCCGTCCACCCAGAGAGCCGTGCCAGGCATCCAGGCTGGGAGACAACGGGAGAAATCAAGGGAGACAAAGGGAGACAAATGAACCCGTCCACCCAGAGAGCCGTGCCAGGCATCCAGGCTGGGAGAGAACGGGAGACAAATGAAGGGGACAAAGGGAGACACATGAACCCGTCCACCCAGAGAGCCGTGCCAGATCCAGGCTGGGAGACAACGGGCGACAAATGAAGGGAGACAAAGGGAGACAAGTGAATCTGTCCACCCAGGCATCCAGGCTGGGAGACAACGGGAGACAAATGAAGGGAGACAAAGGGAGACAAATGAACCCGAGCCGCGCCAGGCATCCAGGCTGGGAGACAAATGAAGGGAGACAAAGGGAGACAAATGAACCCGTCCACCCAGAGAGCCGTGCCAGGCATCCAGGCTGGGAGACAACGGGAGACAAATGACAAAGGGAGACAAATGAACCCGTCCACCCAGACTGGATCATCCAGGCTGGGAGACAACGGGAGACAAATGAAGGGAGACAAAGGGAGACAAGTGAACCCAGGGAGACAAACGAACGCGTCCACCCAGAGAGCCGTGCCAGGCATCCAGGCGGGGAGACAACGGGAGACAAATGAAGGGAGACACAGGGAGACAAATGAACCCGTCCACCCAGAGAGCTGTGCCAGGCATCCAGGCTAGGGCTTGGCAACAGGCGAGCCACCTTAAATGAATTTAGAACCCCTCACAGTAAACTGTTTGGGGAAAAATCCGACACATGAAACACACACCAACCCGGAGAGCTCACAAGTCTAAACACATTCAAGATGTTAACGGGGTGCCTCAACCGCCGCCTGACCCGTAGCAGGCTTCCGATGCTGACTCTGTGCCGGGTTGCCAGCTCGTCCTTTGCCATCTTGCCTCAAACGCGAAGAACCGGGCAGAAGAGTGAACGGCGCAATCCCCATGTTCAATGCTGGCAGCTTCCAAACGACAAACGATCCATCCTTCAACTCCCTCACTGGGCCTCCTGGCATCGAACAAGAAGTTTGCCGCCCAAACCCTACCCTGCCAAAACGAAGCACCAGGCTCTCACCGGCCACGCCTCGGTCGCTGGAGGCGTCCAGGGGGCTTTGGGATATCCGATCCAAAGCTCTGCGGAGAGCAAAACGCCTGCTTCTCTTCCCGCCCAACTACTCTGGGTGTCTTCAAATGGGGGGGGGGGTACGCCCACAAAACGGTGGTTGTCCTTTTGGCTTCCCTTTAAAACCACCAAGAAAGGGGTAACCTCAAAACAACACACACACATACCGATACCACAGTTCCTTTTAGATGAATATCATGTAGGGGATGACTGAACCAAAATGCACCTCAAGGAATACCCTCAAAAGAAGACACGCCTACGTCGTTTGCGGAGTTGGAGGAGCCTCGAAGCGAAGGCCTGGCTGTGAACCAGTGAGTGCGAAAACCTGGCTGGGGGCCCCATGCAAACAACTTGCTCAAAGGCGCGACCTTCTCTTCATTGGTAGATCATGAAACAGCCAGGTCACTTGATTTTCCACCAACACAACCCAAAAGGACACCTATGCTTCTATGGCACTTGCCCTCAAAGAACAGCTGGCAGCACGTGTCAACAAGCAGACCTCTGCAATTCGCCATGTGCGGTTCGTTTGCAATACTTAGGGATCTGTGGCAAACACACGGCCGCATTTCTAGGCACCACAAATGGCAGCTGCAGATTTGCCTCATAGACCGGGCTAGTCCTTCTGCCAACTTGGGAACCTGTTTGTCTATCCGATGCAACCGCTACCAGCGTCTTGGCCCCAATGGATATGGGAATTGCGTGAAGAAACACCAGTGTACCCGTGTACCCAACCCTGAGAGAATGTGAACTTAGGCTAAAACTTGGAATCTGAGGTCTCGGGCAGATTGACATTGAACCCAAAAAACCTCTATTGGTAGAGGATGCCCCCTTTTGGGACGCGTGGGCTCCAATTGGCACCGAAAGCCGAGCAAGCCGCCCCTTGCCAGAGCCAGCATTCGCTCTTGTTTTTGTCACATCGATTGAGTGCCTGCATGAAACGACTGGATGGTTCGGTATGCCTGACTCTGCCCTGCCAAATTGCACAACCCTCCATGGGCATGTGTCAAAATTAGAATGCGGAACAAGTTGATTTCCGCTTTGTCTCTTTAAACCGAGGCACAAGGTAGATGTTCTGCGTAGGTATATGATCCGAATCTAGGCAAATCATGGCCGGCCTATGTCCATGAAATGGGATCACAGCCTAATCACTGGCCTTGCCAACGTTCCTTGCTACAGTTTCAACAAATAGTTCTAGCCCTGTATTCTCACACCAACCATGAGACTTGGTCACAATCTGCTCATTGAGTATTTGTTTTTGGACAGCATCCCTTTGTACTGAGGATTATTGACTGACATATTCCCTCGATAAGTCTCGTATCACGCTCAATCAGCCATGTAGCTTCTAAAAGTTCCTGACCACAAACCTACCGGGTGGCAAATGCAAGGGGCAAGTCGGAGCTTGAAGCTATGACTGGCATGCACCTGCCGCTTGCGTACGTCTGTCCTTGCGGATTTGGAAACTTTGACAACCCCCGGTTCACCAAACCCACATCCGTAAAAACTGGGAGGACAAAAGGGACCCTCTGGTGTTCTCGTGTGGCGTTTCGGCGTCGGTACCAAGACCAGGTGATTGCCAGGAGAGTACCTCGCTCACTTGGGCGCAATGCGCAGGAGCCTCATAACAGAGCGGGCCGCCTTGTCCAAAGGATTTGGCCTCGGATCGAATCGGCTCGAGACGGGCATGTGTTGAAATCCGGAGGGTCGAACAGGGGCAATGTTCCTTTGGTTCCCCTTGAAACCGCACTCGCCAAGGAAACAATCAAAAGAGCCCCCAAAGCTGGGGCCACAACAAAGAATTCGATGCAAGGCCTCTCAAGCAGGGAAGCTTCAAGTTACAAGCTCAGAGCAATATCTGTGCTTTTGGGCAAGTCAATGGCACAAGTGAATAAATAGAACCAAACTGAAACTAGTTCCATGTCTGTCACCCTGACTGACCTAGACCAACACCTACGGTCATGGGGCCCCTGCGAGTGAGAGGTCCTCTTGTGGTGGCAATAATCCAAGAAGATCTCCTTCCACTCGTGCGAGTTCGTGATCTTTCCGATGTAGACACCTCGCAGCGCCCAACTTCCAAACTGTTTGAGCAATGTACGCAACACATGTACAGACGGAAAAGCGCACAAGTCCAAAGGCTTTGGCAATCCACTTTGGTTGCTGGACTTGCCATGATCAAAGAAAGCGAGAGAAGCAAACTCCGGCAATCTCTGGGACATGCGGGGCAGGCGCCTGGGACAAAGATCCCTCAAGTTGTAAAGGCATCTCTGGGCAACGGGGTCCCAATTGACACGGAACCTGAGGGTCCTGGAAGGCCGTTCATTTCTCTCTTGCCCGTTGGGTTCGATGGTGGGTTCAATAAAAAAGTGAGCGGCAGTATGGGTGGCTCGTTTCTTAGACCCGAAAAGCGTCGCCGTTTTTGTGTTGGCATCCCTCTACCACCAATGGGTGCCAACTCAGAAAAGTGAGAGGCCAAAAACCCAACCGCAGTCCGGGCAACCCATCCGAGTTCAAACCCCAGGTCCAACCCGAGCCCAAATCCGACTCGGATTGGAAGCAACTAGTCAACCAACGAGGTGTCCGGTGCCGGTGTCCAACTTGAAAACCAACCATAAAGGGCACCAAGCCAAACAAAACCTCCACCCCAAATCGGGTGTCTTGTCTATTCTGCAGCTCTAGGCGCCGAAGAAGAGGGAGGAGGCGCCCACCAGCGTGAAGGAGGGCCAGAGCCAGGTGTTCACATAGGGCACCTCACCATCTCCATTTGGATTTGGGGCATCAAGGCGATTTGGGGCATCGGAAATAAATAGGCCAAAAGCTTGTCTGCTAAAAGTAGCCGTCCCACTATCTGTTATCACTCTACAGGGGATTGGTTCCCTTGGTGCCAGAGAAAAAGGCCCTTGAAGCATATGTCCCTCTAGGATTTGGGGCATAAGGCTGCCATGCTGCTGCAAAACGAACAATGTGGACGTCGGAACCATCTCTATACTGAAGGCCGCCTTTGAAGAGGATTCCGGTTTTGTTCAAATAAAATGGCAACCTAAATCCAATCCTTGCTATGTCAACGGAAAAGTATTCTTTTCAGCTAAGCCCAAGCCTCTGAAAGTAGATGCTCAAGTTTTTTCACACTGAGACTAGTCAAACTGGATCACCTCAACTGCCCGGCATGAAGGACGGCACCGGACGACATGATGAACCCCTCCAAGGACCTCAGTTTTGTGCCCTTGTGCTACACGGTCATGCATACGCCTGTGTGCGTGCTGCGGGGGGACCAAGGCGCTGCAGGGTCAAAGTTTGCTTCCTCCATCCTTCCACTCATAGTTGTGAGAAACACACTTAACCTGTCGCGATACCAAAGTGGTGAATTCCCATTGCCAATTTCATGACGTTCGAACATATCCCTCGGTATCACACAACGCCGGCCCTAAAAAGACGCCGACTCCATATCCGAAAAAAAACTCGCCAGATCGGCTCACTTCCGCCCCCGCAGCCCCACTCGCCGAAGGCGCCAACTCATCCTTCGCCATAGCCTCCTGGCGAAGCGGCTGGTTTTGGGTCTGGCCTTCACGAAGCCGACAAACGGAGAATGCATCCTTAACCGCAGGGTCTGTCGAGGGTGGGTGCATTCCTTGCAACCCTCCCCTTTGTGTTGCATGGTCTGGTTCTCCATTAAAAGAGTTCCAAACACAGAGCAGGGCTATGAACCCAGGGGAAATAAACCTGTGATTCCTTTGGGGGGGGGGGATGAATCTGCCAAGTAGCGAGTTTAGCTATCACGCTAGGCTTGAGGGCCAGAAAGAGGTGGCACTCTTTGACAACTGGAGGCAAAGGGACAGCGAGATGGGAATCCCTTCCACCTAATAACAAATAAATATATACATATATAAATAAATACACAAGTAAAAAATAAATATGGCTTCTTTTTGCTCAGATTAATCAAGATTGGCTTTATTCATATGCTAATTAGGGGGTCCCCGGAAGCAATTGTGCTCCTCCCTTGGAACAGCCTAAATTGTTTCTGTGTTGGGTTGTAATACAAACTTTGAGGAAGAGAAAAACATTGTGTTTGGCTGGTTCTATTTTTGTTTGTTTTCCCAGACCGCCAGGTCGACAATGCTACTTTTACGGCCAGCCCCTGAGGTTTGCCTGCGCCCCGAACCAACGCCCCGACACAAAAACCCTAAACCTAAACCCTAAAAACCATAAATCTAAACTCTAAAAACCCTAAACCTCAACCCTAAAACCCTAAGCCTAACCATAAACCCAAACCCTAAAGACCCTAAACCTAAACCCTAAAAACCCTAAACCTAAACCCTACAACCCCAAACCGAAACCCTAAAAAGACCCAAACCTGCATGCAGAAACCTAAGCCCTGAAAACCCTAAACCTAAACCCTCCACCCTAAACCTAAACCTAAACCCTAAAAACCCGCAGACCTGCCTGCTACCCACGCCTCGTGGTACCACGGCCCCACGTTCTGAAGAGAACGCAGGTCACCACGTGTCAGGTATGGCTGCACGAGTTGTGCTACTTGAGTAGTAAAGGGTGCCATACTTGAACCACGTGCTGGACAAGGGTGGATTAGGGGGTGCCGGCAAACCACGGGGGCTGTGGGTACTTTGAGAGTAGGTCAGTTCTAAACCAATACTAGACTGGCGGATTTCTCGCCCAGCCAAGCGCCTTGCACCACCCATGCCAGAAATGAACAAAACCAAGGCCCCTCTGTCCCTTTAAGTTTGACTACAACGAGATGGCAACGAAACACGCTTGAACCTTTCCAAGCGGAATGCTGCTAGCTCCCCGCAACTATTAATTGAGCCTATACTAATTGACCAGAGTTTAAACAGCCCAGGTCATATCTTGGTTTAGAGCTTTCCTTTAGAGACGGGCACTTGTGTTCAACAACCACTATTGGCTCAGCCCCCGAGTGAAAAGGCCTCGCTCTATCATGGCCATATGTATCAATGTCAGCAAGTGATCAAGCTGAGTCCACCGTCTGTCCCTTTTGGGCGCTCGTTTTCCGGAGAGTAAGGAAATCCCATAAAACGATTGGCTAATGATAGGTCCTTGGTCCTAAGACCACCGGCCTGTTGATCTCCCAAAACAATCCTAGACGGCACCTTGCCCTTAAAGAAAGAAAAAGGCTTGAACCCATGCCTGGCCTCTGCCTCAAAGTACATTGGTAACTCTCTCTTTTCGAGCGGCCGCTAGATAAACGTCACAGTCTCCAAATGCAAAGCTGCCTCGTTGATTCGGGTGTCTCGATATTTCTTGGGGGGGGCGGGATCCCACAACTTCTGGGTCTTCCTTTTAGTTTCCCAGTAACAGGGGTACCCTCCAAGAACGACACACCCATTCGGGCTGGTAGTTACCCTCGGATTTTCCAGCATGCGGCTCGACGCCAGGCCCCCAGAGCCTCAGACGTGCCGCGTGCCGCGCGAGGAAACGATCCAAAAACAGCTGACGCGGCGGTGCGGGCGGAGTCCTTCAAGCTCTGACTTGTACCTCAATAAGCGGTAGTTCAGTCCCTCCAGCCCCGTTTTTTTTTGCTTCCCACGAAAAGCGTCCAAGAGACGCTGGACGAAGCCACTTGTGCCAATCACAGGACTCAAAATCAGCCGCTGACTTCCGGCCTCCGGAGCTCAGTGGAAATGTCGCAGACTCTATTTCTGGATGGGCCTAGTAGTTCAGGGAACCTGAACAAGGACATCCTGCGAAAGAAATTACCGCCAAAGCTCCAAAAGGAAATGACCACGTTGAGCCCTACCCAAGAAAACCGCCGAACCCCCAACCCCGCCCCCCCCAAAAAAAAATAACGACACCCCCTGCCACCGGCCCCGGGCCCCCACTTGACCTTTTCGACCCAATCTGATCCGCGCGTCAATGGACGACTCTCACCAAGCGCGAGCCCTGCGCACTTCAACGACACAAGCCGAAGGCAAAATGAGTCACAATCAAAGCCTGGTGCAAAATCGTCTGCCCAGACAAATGCTTTCAGAATTGGAAAGGCGGATATCCGCACCCATTTGTGGCTGGGATTGTCTCTGACTACCCTCCAACTAGGCAGGATTTAGATTATGACTCAAATGAACAAGTGCTCAAAAAAATCAGAATCGGCCCAAAATGGCCGCTTTCCCCAAAATGGCTTGCCCGGGCACATAGATCAAAGTCAGTGGACTCAAACCGGTGCCCTGGCTCGTAATTTTGAGCCTGAACGTGGAAAAGGGACCCAGTTGCAACCAGCCCGAACCGAATGGTGGGCCACGTCTGGATCTCTTTTGCTGATGAACCAACAGGGAAAACTGGTGCCACTGAATAGCCCTGAACCTGGCTCGGAGGGTGTAGCTTCACATGGCAAACCTAGCCGAACGACATTCAAAGATTCAAAAAGCACGGGCCCGGGACCTTGAACTGGATCGCTTGCCTTTGGTCGACATTGCCATGGTGATTCCAACCTGCTAGAGCCTTTTTGGAGCTCCGTAAGCTGGCAACGATGTAAGCGCTTGCGCGTCCACAGGGACACAAGAGCATCCCTGGAGGAAGTCCCTAACTTTCTTAGAAACACTTGTGTCAGGTATTGGGCGAAGCTAAAGTTTGAGCAGATTCAGGCCCCCTAGATCTGATACTAAGAAGCTGCTGGAGCCCTGCTGCTTCTTTAGCGCCCAACCGCAAGATCCAACAGGATGTCCAGTCAGGCTGAGACTGAAACGTTTCAACCCTGGGGTTTCTGAAGCAGGTACCACGCCTTCCACCCAAGTTTCAGAACCACATCTGAATGACGCAACCGGTGCAACAACCTGACACGAACGGACCGCCGACCGATCGCCGGGCCTCCGGGGGCACAGTCTGCCACCCCTCACAGCGCGTGAAACAACAACAGTTGGAGCAATTGGACACAATGTGCTTGGTGTAGTGGGTGTGGTTATCTGAATCATGTCTTCATCCAACGTGCTCGGCCAAGTAAGCAGTTGGGAACCTAGCTTCTAACCCACAAGTAAGTCCCCAAAGTGAGGTTCACCTTAGTCTCCTTAGGTGTTTTAAAACAAGAGAAGGAAAAAAACATTCAAGCGGCCAACCACAAATGCGAGACTGGCGAATTCGGGGAAGCGGACCAGCGCCCGAACCTGGGCCCCTCATTTGGCAGAGACCCCAACATTCGCCAGTGTCTGCCATCAAATCCGCATGACAGATACTATCTATTTTAGTAGGGGAACCCTCCCCCAAAAAAAGGGGTAGAAGGGCACTACTGGGGGACCCAGGATATGCCTTGGAGAAGTCTCCACACTGGTTGAGTCTGGCTGGATGCTGTGGGGCGCAAAGCCGCTTGGAAGCTTGAACAGCTCGCTGGAGCTCTGCCCACTGCATGTGGTTGTTGAATTTAGTGCGAGTGACAACTTCAAACCTTTTGGCTGGCCGGAAAAAAAATGCTCGCCGTCAGTAAGTTCAAGGGAGGTCCTGGATGCAACAGAATAACGACACTGTATGCTTTTGCCCGTTCCGTGCCTGGTGACCATCTCGATGACTTGCCATAAATGTCCAGTTCGAAAAATGATATCATTCATCATAGAAATCCCAAATCGGCTACAACACTCAACCTTTATGAGGTTGTGGTGTCATTTGCCAGTCATATCAGGCCTTGGACCGATCTTCCCACCATCTGTCAGATTTGGAGCAATCTCTTTATTTTAAGCAGGTGCGTTGAAGCCGAATCCAGTCATAATCAGCGGAGGAACATGTGCCTGATAGTTTTCGCCCCTCATGTTAGACAAACACCCAATCTCAGCATTGCATGAGACTCAGATACTGTCTAGGTGGGCTTCCACTACCCCAAACGTCCCAGGCCTTTTGTACCCCATTAGTTCCTTATACGTCCCCACCACAAGGATGGCAACAAAGATGATGTTTAGTC